TTATTGCCTAGGCTATACGCGCGCACTGAGCTGATCAAATTTTTACGATTGAGCTAGACGAGTCTGTCTTGAACCGCGGTCGGAACACACGAGACACACTGATCGTCCAGATTCACATAAAATTAGCGAGAGGAGAGAATTAGGAGAAAAGCAGAGAAATGTGGCAGGCGTTGGAAAATCGGCTCATCAGAAAATTTAAACATGTGAATAAAACATTCAGACAAATTTAAAAAAAACCTTGTTAAAATTTACTCTAGTTAACTTCCGGTTTGATAGAATTAAATTTGAAAATTCCATTTTCCGTGTTTCCAACGCAATAGACTGCCACACCGAGGGAGCCTCTTTATGAGAAGCGGGCCGGGCTCGTTAATCAATTACCTGCCGGAGAAGAGTGTTCCATATGAAAAATCACTAAAACTACAAAGAGAGAGAAAGAAACGGAAGAGCTGCTCTCGGTTCACCACGCCATTTCGTCCGTCAAGGGCGGTTTGTCTTTCAGTTCGGCACTGCTTTCTCTCCCTCACTTGTTCTGCATGCTCGTTTTGGCCCAACACTGGCCAACCACTCGCACGGACTGACTCGATGCCGGACTGGGCCTCGTCCTTCGGTCCTTCCAGCAGCCGGAGCGGCGCAGCTGGAGAGGCTGAGGACGCGCGAGTGCGCCGGCGCCCCGACACGCACCCACCCCCTACCCCGCCGCCCCTGCCGCCGCCGCCGGCACTCGCACACGCTTTTGCATGGCTCCACCGATGGATGGATGACACGGCGCTCAAGGCGTCTTCCGCTATCTCTCTGCGCGTCTCCATATTATTAATAACCTCCTCGTTTGGCATTTTTCGCACTAATCGATACGCAGCTCTCCGAGATAATCGCATTTTCCATTCACAATTTCACTGCTAATTTTTACTGTACGAGAATTTTGCTGGCGAGAATTATATTTTGTTTATTTTTTTCCTTTTCATGGTGAATTTTTATTGACAGATTGGGCAAATAAATGCATCAATTGAATTAATTATACAGTACAAAAATATGAAGAACGAATTTCTTCAATGTCCAATAACGAAGTGGGATGAAAAAATTAATATTATAATAAGTGCAATCCTAAAAAATATGCAAACCTAGCCCAGGCCACGCAGTTTTATTGGCGCAACTAAATCAACTTTCAGAATTGTTCACATAGCTAAATTTATTGTTTCTAAAAACTGTAATGAAGATATTAAAATATTATATAATTATTTTTATAATCACGCAATGCATTTAAAAAAAATATATATAATGCAAAAACGATTTATTTGAATAATATTTTAAGGCCCCCAATATACAAACAAATTATTGTTTAATTAAAAATATTTTATGTTGTAGTCTTCAAACTGAATTTTACAAACCTGATTCTATTTTATTTTTCTCCTCTTGCATTAATAACTATACCAATTTTGGGGTTAGCACTGATCTTTAAAAGTTAACTAAATTTACATCAAATTTAATTTCTTAGTTGAGTTTACGTTAGATGCAATTTCAGTAATGTTGAGTAATAATAAAATACAAATTAAAACAAAATGATTTTGCGAAGTAAATGAGCAGCTTTTGTAAATTTTTTTGCTCTCATTCATTATTATTATATAAAAAAACTTCCAAAACCTCATCCTTTTCAACACTTTAGAAGAAGAGTTTTCCAAAATTGATCCATTGGTTTTTGCCTCTTCCCTTTTCGCGACGCACACTGCTCTGTCGCTCTTTTCTCCATCTCTGTGCGAGAGAGAGCGAGAAACTGTCACCGCAGTTACACATCTCCAAATATTTGCTTTACGGCCCGAGCACCAATGGCGTGCGACAACAGTCTACAGTTGCGTCTACTTTCGGTCGCGTCCATAAAAAAGACATTCACACACAATAATAGGGGTTTCGTCATTGGACTTGAGGACGCGTTAAAATCACGTTATCGTCCGCTCGCAATCGCAGCCCTCCGTTCACTTTCACACCACAGAAGACAAAGCTGGGGGGGGGGGGGGGGGGGACAAACGAAAAAAGCAAGACGATCGAGAGAGCCCATTTTTTGGAATTTCGGGCCCTGATGGTTCGCGTCAATCTGAGCATTTGATATACAAAGACAAAGCTCTCCATTCGAATTGCATCAGCTTTGATTCTTAATTCTCTGTTGAATGATTTGAATTTTAAAATATTTATTTTTGCGTATATAGTTTTGTAAAAGTTAAAAAACTGTATAGACCTTGATAAAATTGTTTGTAAAAGCTGTGAAAAGTTTTATTTTAATTTACGAACTTTGCATTTCTGATATTTATAATTCACATATCGTCAAAACTAAAGCTCTTCCATAATTGATCAGCCTAATTTTACACAAGAGCACGTGCGTAAGCATGTTGTTTGCGAAAATGCGATCACTCTTTTGTTTCAGTCTGCTCAGAATATACCAAAAGACGTATCAAGCCCTGAGCGCGTTATGAGATTATCGATTGACGGGCCAAAAGACATAATTTATTTGCAAACCAAAGGCGAAATTTGAGTAGATGAATAAATGTGATAAACCATGATCTCCGGTGTTTGGGCGTTACAACTCTTATTTTGTGGATCATTTTATTTTCATTCAATCTCTATTGAGGAAAAACGCGTTAAAAAAACCTAGACAAAACTTTATAAAAATTTTAGTTTATGCTTCGGAAGTGGGGCAATGAAAGAAGCTGGAATTTGAACAATGTTATGCACAAAAATTCAATTTGTTATAGTGACTTCTCAGCATAATTTTATTGCATTTGTTAACTATTATATTAAAATAACAGGTTTTAATAATTGCAATTTGTCTCCAAAACCTACTTCTATTTAGCGTTTGAATTTATTTCATATTTAAAGAACTAGATATAATGGTAAGAAAAATAAATTAATTGGTTTTAAAAAAAAAAGTACTTCACATTTTCAAAACAACAATATTTGTATGTCAGTGTAAATAATAATGGTAATTCAATCATTTTTTCATTGCTTCTGTGTATTGTTATTATTATATTATTATTATTTCTACGTCCCAGTAGCAAATACACAATAAATTGCGCGTTTTCAATTCAAAGAGTGGTTCGCGCGTATTCTCGTTTGCACGTTATATTGAATTTTCATTAGAAAAATATGTACAAAACCCGGTCGCGTTCTCGCACCTCTTTTTTCTCCTCAATAAAACGCAAGCAAAGCTTTCATTGCGACCTAGTTTGAAGAACGGAGCATCATAATAAAAGTAAAAAAAGAGTGCATTGCTGAACGGGCACTCACGTCAACGAACGCACTTAATTAACTGCGATGCCCGTCGTTACAAAAACGAAGAAGAAAAATATGCTTAGCATGCGACAAAACAAGGTAAAATAAAAAAAAAACATGATGGTGCAGTGCGTGCACTTTATTTCAGGAGACAATGCAACTGACCTGAATAAGAGTCTTTTGACCTACATATCAATTCATTCATGAAATTTTTCTTTTTATATTGATTATTGATTTATTTTTATACTTTGTAATTTTGATCCGACAAAAGCGAATATTTAAAGTAAAATTTGGTTTTTGCCGCCAACGAAGCTGCCGAGCTATTTTCCTGCCCCGGCGCACATTGTCCAATCCAATAAGGCGTGGTGATTTATTTTTAACCTACGTTTAGTGCCACACGCACTCCACAATGTACAACTCAATCATATGACTCTGCTCGTCGAAAATTCTTCTTTGTAAAAGGAGAGGAAAATAAATTAAAATTGACTTCTGTTGATCTGAACTATAAATTATCTTTGATTAGGCGATTCTGATTATTTTAGCAAAGAAAATCTTTACTAAGACGGTGATTTTCCTTCCACTTTTGCAAAGATATAAATAATTTCAAAAGTTAATTTTCAATTCCTTTGTTTTTAATAATCTCTCCTGTGTGCTCCTATCATGATTTTTTAATACTTTCAACTATACTAGAACTTGTATTGTATAATTAAATTATAATTAGAACATTTTTTTGTCAAGATTTTTAGATTAATTAAAGAATTAGTGAATAAACCGGTAGAAGCAAAAGAGATTAAGTAAAATTTTGATTTGAAAATTATTGAAAATTTATGAATTTAAAGGCTGTGATGAAAAGATTATCACATATAGTTATGCCGCATTTCAAATCCAACAAATAAATCATAAAAATGGGAAGCCAAAAAATTACACTATAAATCAATGTTTACTGAATTTCTCTCTTTGGCAGATGAATTTTAAGATAAATCCCAGCAAACAAAAATTATTAATTTCATCGTGTTATTCAATGTCTCATAAAAAAATGTACTGAAAATAAACGAAAAATCTCATCTCAAATATTTTATCGTGCTCAGCGTTTTTGAGGCATCAGCAACGTTTTCCATTTGCTTTTGTGAGCCAAGCGTAGCAGTATCTGACTTTTGTGTGTGCTTCAGTTTTGATTGTGTCAACAAATTTGGAAGAAAAGAGGGATCCGTTGTGTTTACTTTTTGCTCTCTCTCGAGAAACACACACCCACGCGTCTACTCTTGATGCAGCAGCTCTTTTTTGCCAAGCTGTCCAATTCCAAGGGCCTTTTCTCTCTCAAATCTGCGCCGAGTGAGAGAAAGGGCCTGGCGAGTGAAAGACTGAGATGATCTCATTTCAATGAGCCGAGGGGAGCTCCGGAGAAAGAGTGAAGAATGAGACCAAAAGCTTCGCGGTTCTCCCTCGTAATCAGCCCGTCTCGCCGTTGCGAAATCGGCGGCGGCCAATTCCAGTGGCGGAGAAGAAAGAAAGAAAGAAAGAATTTGAAAGACGAGGTAGCCCGAAACTCTATAATGACCAACGGGCCACGCGGCCGAAAGGATCGAAATATTTTTAGCGGCGAGACTCACACACGTGACTCACATTTGCATCTCTCTCTCGCGCTTATTATCATCAAGTCGGCGGACAAAAAGACACAATTTTCGAAAACGATTAAAAAAATTGAAATAATTTAAAAAGAAATAATTCAAATTTAAACTCACCAGCACTGCTGACTCATGGCACTACTTTTCGCTTTTGAATCGGGACTAATCCAGTGTCGAAAGGGTTGTCGCGATGCCGGAAGTGGATTCGGCCGAAAAGTGCCGAAAGTAGGCGGGCGGCGGGCGATATATTCGTGGAATTGGAGAGAGTGCCTAGGCAGAGCCAGCGGGCCAGAGTCACCGCACAGAGAGAGAAAAGAGCCCCCGGCCTGGCGAGCGGCCAGTTTCTTCTCGGCCGTCCGTCTCGCGAGCAGAGCACGCCGAGAGCGAGCGCAGGCAGGGACACTCGCCTTTAAACTGACTGCTCCTATTGTGACACTCATTGTCCCGCCGCCGCGGCCGCCGCCGGACCGACCACCATCTTCAGTCGCGCGCCCAAAGCTCGCCTCCCGGACAACCAGCCCCATTGTTTAACAATACTGATTCCATTTTTTTATTCTCAACTCCTGTTTTATTTTGCTTGGAGGTTAACTTTGAACATGGTGGAAGTTGACTAATTTAAAGGGAAGGTTCGTTTTTTTACCATTACCCTCTGTTTATATTTATTTCAATTACAGCCATGCAAAATTAAAAAAATTATAAAATTTTGACCAATAATTTCCTAAACTTTTTGACAAAATATGTCAAACTGACAAATAATTGTGTCACTTATGATGTATGATTGGCTAATAAAAATGAAAAATTAATTTTTATGGGAAGTTTGAGATATTTGTAATTATTTTTAACTAAAATTTTGATTTAGTTATTTTCTAAATCATAGGAAACCAAGTACAGGAAAAATTTCAGGAATCTTAAATAAGAGTGACTGTTTCCTTAAGAAATTTGAAAATTATTTAATGTTATTTAAAAAGTTTATAAATTTTTGCTGATTTATTATTTTCCTTTGTTGTACTATACATGATTTATTAAATGTTGCAAATCACTGACCTGCACTTTTGCACTTACTTACTTTTAATTGTCGAGTATATTATTTCTCCTTTGAAGACGCTTGTGAATAATTGTGTAGCTCGGCAAAGTTTTATTTTTTATTCTATTCGTTCCATTCAAAGAAAAGGAGAGAAACAAAGAATCCTCTAACGAAACAAGTTTGTATGCAACCTGCTATTCAAGCTAGTCTTGCCGGTTGCTGGCCACCGACAGCTGCAGGCGGCAAGAGAAAAAAGCACAATTCTATGCAGCTCTTTTGACACAGAGGACTTGGCTTTATTTTTTGGCGTGCGAGATACCAAGTATCAGTTTCGATCAGGTTGAAAAGTAATTTAAAATGAGTTATTTTCGCAGCTTTTCCATGCAACAACAATCATATTTTAAACTAAAGTGTTTTCTTTATTGTTTTTATTCTAGTCCATTATGCACTTGATTTTTTTAATCATTGACAATTATTATTTATTCATATAATGCGGAAAGTTGAAATCAATTTAATTCCCCACTTTCTTTATAACTTACTGATTAATTCAATAGTGAATCACCATGGGACGCGCCTTTTACTTGGAAACTTAAGTAAATTTCTTTATAATATCTCAGTTAAAAAATCAAAAAATCTTATCTGATTCTCAAATGCTAAAGAAACGATTTCATAACTTTGTTTTTCACATTTAATTTTATAAAAATAAAAATCACTCCAGTAAACCAGTTTTAAAACTATGATTTTCTTGCAATCCTTAATATAATAATTGCATTTTTTATTATTGTTGCGCAGATCGTTATTTATTTTGCTTCTACTGCAGTTTACTTTTGCTGTTGGCAATTTTTATTGTGAGGTTGTCACTGTTGATCTTCGCCACAAAGGATTTGTCTTGACTCTGCTACCGGTCAATAGGAAATATTTTTACCAACAAAAAGTTCGCTGCACATACATATCACATGCAGGCGCTCGGCAGTGAAATATCTTTTCTTGACCTACTTTGGCGTGTGGCTTTCTCACAATGCAATATAAAGCGAGTTGGAAGCTGTCAAGTGTTAGCAAAGGAGCATAAAGAATAAAAGCTATACTCTGGCAGTCGGAGACACGTCCGCTGTAGTTATCGCATGCAAATTTAACCGAATGTTATTTTTGCAGTTTATCACACATAAAGGAAAGGAAAAAAGTTTAATTTAATCTTTGCTGAACATGTTATACAATTCAATGTAGGTCATGAGTTAAAAGGACAAATTAAACCGTTCTTCAGAATACTAAAATTTGAAAACATTAGAAAATAAATAATTATTTTCTAATTTGCATGTTTTTAATTGTAATTTTAAATTAACGTCTCAAGTTTATGACTGCAATTAAATTTTTCTTTCAGCTTAACTGTTAATTAACAGTTAAGAATTAAAGAAAAAATTTCCAATTTAATAAAATACATCATTTTAAACTACACCAAGAAGAAAGTAGCTGTATCTTTATATTAATCTTCTTCAAAATCATGTGGCACATTTTTCAAAAACAGAAAAGACAATATTGCACAATATTTTACTCAGGATTCGTAATATTATTTCATCATATTAACCTCTGGACATTCGTTTTCGTCAGTTAGGTCAAAAGCGGTCAAAACGTCGACCGTCTCAATCAAAATTGAATTCTATAAATCAAACATTGTACAAAATTGTCCATAAAAATTTACATATCTTAATAACAATGTATTAAATATTTAATTTTTCATTTAAATATTTTATTGAAAACTTGTAATTTTCGCATTTTTTTCGTAAATTTATAAGGGCTATGGAGTTTTTAAATCATCGCTGTATATAGCAAATATTGTGAAAAATCACTCTCCGCTCACAGGCTAGCGGAAAAATGTCACAGGAAATTGTTTCAACACATATGTGCGTCCAGCGACCTCCGTCAGGACTTTATTTTTAAAACTCAAAATGGGTCAAAATCCGCAATGAGGCAATCATCAGCCATGCCGCCATCATTGAATTTCCAGCCTTGAGAGTTATTTGCGTTCATTCAAAAAAGTAGATCGCATTTTCCTGTTGGCTGATGCAGCCTTTTAATCTGGGCTACTACCTGGTTATACCTGACAAAACAGTTTGATGATAAGTTCATTATTTTTATTTTTTTTAAATTACAAATTAGTTTATTTAAATTAACAGTCAATTTTTTTATTTATATTTTTAAAAATAGAAATTCTAAATATCATAATTTAAATCAAGACGATTCTAAATAGTTGAAAAAGGAATTCTCCAGCTCTGAAAGATGAGACATTAATCTACAAAGTTTTAAATAGTCACTTGAAAGAGATAAGGGAACCAAGGCAAAACAATTTTTTCATTGAAGTCTTGTGTTTTCACATAAAAAATCTGGATTGTTTAAATGTAGTGAAAAGTGCGATAAAAGCAGAAATTGTATTAAAAATTGAAAATTTAATATATATTTTACAAATTATTTAAATAAATAAAGAGTGTGAGAAGATTCATGATAAAAGTATAGAATATTTTAAATTCTCGGCAACTCTCGTGTTTTTTCTTGAAATAACCAGATTTGAAATATTTGGAAATTTGTTTGTCGTATAAAATCACAAAGCCGATCGGAAATAATAAAAGAATGATTTATTCACTTCCTCCCTTTTTATCCGATGCAACGATCTGTCTCGTAAGGGTTGAATGACGCAGTCCTCTGCACCCGCGCACATGTTGTTTGCGTTGATGCAAGCTGCGACAGGAGTGCGCAATCTGACCTTTTTCCTCAAAGGAAAAGGGGTTGTTTGCCTGCACTGGGAGAGCTCAGGTGTGCCAACAAAGAGCCGGCCAGGTCACTCAACCCTTCGATCCGCCTCCCCTTCAGCTTCTCTCATTGTGAGCCCAGCATGTGCGTGCCCGCGCCAATGGAGAGAAAAATAAAAGTGAAACGCGGTCGAGTTCATTGAGTGTGAAATCGCTGGCCCATTATGCTTCAGACTTCTTGTTGCTTTTTTTCCTTTGCTGCGCAGGAGGAAGAAAAATACATATAAATAAATCTCTTATTTTCTTATTTCAAATAAAATGTTTAAAAACCTGCATGTCTTTGATCTACATTATTATAACTTAGAATAGCTCACAAATGTTTTAAAATTTCACTGTCGAGGTAATATTTTATAAAAAAAAAAAAAAAATTTAACTAAGAAACTTAACATGTTTGCTATTTTTAAATTACACAATTTCATGAATTGCCAAATTTCAGATATTTATTTTTTTTATAATTTTTCTATTGAAAGTTTCATGAAATTTATTTTACACTATTTTTAATTTTGATAATTGAGCCTTTAAAAAAATTCACTTTTACAGGCAGTGTAATAAAAAAAGGCTTTCTGAATTCTGCCGCACTGCAAATGTAATTTCTTTGGCTTGTATCTTCCTCCTTCCGTTCTGATTCCTGCTGATTGTGAAAAAGAACATTCTTCTTCAACGCAAAATACGCAAACACAACCTAATTTACTTATCGCCGGGCGCTGCTACTCCTCAAAAATCCGTTTCCGACGCTCCAACCCTCTTCGATTGGCTCTATCAGGATTTCCTGCTGCTTGAGCATCCTCGCAAACATCAGCTAATTTGTATGGAAAATTTATAGATTTATAGCTGAGGGCATTTGGTGAGAAAAATCAATTAAAATAAAAGGCAAGCTAGAAACCTGCAATTTAAAATTTCTTCATTGTATTAAAAAAATTAAAATTATTTTTATTTTAAATAAATAATTAATTTGATGTATATAAACTTATTTAATCATATATTGCTATTTTTTTTTTTAAATTTCAACCAATATATAGTAATAAATTTGTTATGCTAAGCTCTTCTAAACATGTAACACACCATCCTAGAATAGGCACTTGGAAAAAACACATGCAAAAATTGGCTTCCTATTTAAAAAAACGTCCTTTGCTGTTGAGGGCAACGACCTAAAAAATAGGAAGCAACTCGCACTTATGAAAAATCCCTATTTACTCATCAGGTATGCGACCAAACTCTCGCTTCTTTATTATGCTCCACAATAGCTGCACCCCCGAGCAAGCGCCCTGCGAGGAAAACAACTTTTCTCCTCCCCCTATGGATAGATGTTTGCGCACAGATTTCACCTTTTTACCTGCGCTCTGAACCGCGTCGATCTATTTATTTTCTTCTGAATTGAATGCCGCGGGGTGCCACATTTTGAGGGTACAAGTTCGTTCAACCGCGACCACGCGACGTTTTTCGAATTTCCTTACATGGCTCTGCCCTGCAGCGAGTGCACACTTTTTAATGGGCCATGTTGATAACCAACGCTATGGTGAAGGACATTATACATATTTTACGTAAATGAAATAAGTGTTTCCTCTTTCCTGGAAAATAAAATGCGGGTGCACGGTTTGCGTCATTCGTGTGCGTCTCTATCTTTGTTTCTGAAGTAAATTAGGTGATAAGAATTAAGAAGGAAATTTTGAAATTCAAGGAGTCAAAGAGCAATTCTTTTGTTAAAACCATTTTTGGAGGTAAAAATTGATATTTATTTAATTATTTGACTCTCCTGGTATTTATTATTAATTTATTCTTTATTGGCAGTTAATCAAATAAACAAAAAAAATAATTAAACGTAGATAAAGAATAATGAACGAATATCTGAATATCTGTAGAATTGTCCGTTTTTTAGGTATCATCAGATTTAAAAGATATGAAAAAATTTTAAAGTCACTTTCATCCTAGGTGACGCACGATCTAAAATTTTTACTAGTTTTCATAATAGGTGCATAATTTGGGTCGGTTTCTTTGATGATTCAATTGCTCAGAAAAATAATTACGAATCACACTTGTGAATAAATTAGTTTTTTATTCTAAAAAGTTTTGATCCAAGTAATTGACTATGAGAACCAATATTGGTGAGTATTTTCTTTTGCATTGATTATGTATAAAGCCTTGAATTATATTATTCTATACATTTTTAACTTTCAGTTTGAGTGCAAGACCGCGAGAGGCCGCGACCAGCGCCTTTTAAAAGGCCACGCGCTCTGCGCTCATCTCGCAAACAATATACCTGCGGATGACGTAAGTCTTTATAATCGGCGTCAGGGTGGGGGAAGTTCAGGTATATTCATCGTGCGCCGACGGACGTGGAAGCAGCTCCAGCGAGCCAGAGAGATTTCGGAGCTTTCGACGATCAAACTCTCGCATGGGAATCGCAGGGCCCGCGACCGCCGACCTGCCGAAACCCTGATCGGCCCCCACGGAAACCTCGATACAAACTTCAAGGTGAGTAACCTGTCCGCGTCGAGGGGTCCACTCGCGAGCAACGACCGTGTGGGCCCCTGCGCGTTTATGAACACACGCAGCAGACCTACTTTCTTCCACGGTGACTTCAATGAACGGTTTTCGCAAGTACACGGACAATTTTGAACTCACGGCCGCCCGTGATAAAGGTTTTCTGTGACGTCAATCGATTTTATTATTATTTCCCAAGTTGGATTCCATCAAGGCTCTTGGAAATAGAAAAAAAGTAATAATAATGCGCTTCCACTGATCCGACCACTGTTTTTGAAATACAACAACAAACGTGAGAGTATTAAAAACTTTCATATTAACAATTCTTTCGGCCACTCCGCTGAGACACTTTCGAATATTTTAATATGTTAAGAGATTGTCATCTCCCATCTTGCTCCTAGAAATTTTGAGAAATATTTATATTTCGTCAAACTTTGGAACAGCTATAAAAAAATTAGTTTTGAGAAAAACCACTCGTTTGAATTGCATTTCAATACCAAGCACACAAGAAACTCAAAAATTAGTTGATATAGCCTCGTCAGAGAGAAAAATGTCAAATTATTATCCTTTAAGACTTTGATTAAAAAATTAATCTCATATTTTTTGTTTCTTATAAAACATTCTCATGATACAGATTAATCTCAAAATCTGATTTTTTCAAAAACGTATATTCAAATTTTTGGATCAATTTATGTTTTAAATATTGATTTAATTTTTTTCTGTGATTTGGTTGGTAAATAAAAATATTTTTGTGCCGAGGCTTTTAACAATTTTTTTATCGCTGTTATTCCAATTTAAATTAATAAAAATTTGTAAATATTGGCTTCAGTGAAAAAAATTTATGTTTTGTAGCCTGAAACCAAATTTAGCTGAACTGGGCCAAAAATATTTAATTTAAAAGGTTGCTTTTTAAGACTATAGATTAAAAGCAATTAGTTTTAAGAAACGCATAATATACAAAAATATTCTAAGAAGCGTTATTTCTTAATTATCAGTTTAATTTTGGCACGTGATTTCATTCTCAAAAGGCGTCAAAAGTTTTTAAGATTTTACCAGGAAAATATTAATAAATATCCCAACAAAATTGGAACTTTTTAATTAAACACGTTTACTTAATCTGTTAAGATGCGCAAAGGAAAATTGCATGAGTGTCAAATAAATTAAATTAATAGGCTCTTCTACAAAATATAAAATTGGGAATAAATGACAAAAAGATATTTTATATTCTATCAAAAATATAATACAATTTGTTGCCAATAATTTATCAACTACAAACCGCAAACCAGTTTGACTTGAACGCCCGAAATAGCATTCTACGCTGGCTTAAGGAACCACATCATTAATAATTCCCAACTGTCCTCTCACTTCGCCAAAACACAATAAATTTTAGTTACTGCACTGAGCCTCTCGCTAAAATAAATTAACGAATGCTTTAAAAAAATTCCACAGCTGCGCTTTGTCATCCGCAAAATAAATTTTCACTTTTATTTATTTTTGGCATGCATTGAAAATTTCACAATGCAGCTTGCAAGAGTGCAGGAAGCATTTTCGTCCGAGTAGTAACAGCTCGAGAAAGGAACATAATAAAATTATTCGCAAGAAAACATTTATATAATTGTGCGCCGAATAAGGAAAGCGCCTCGGAGCGCATTATGCGGTGAATTTAAAAATAGCTCGGCAACACTCACTCACATCACGTTGGCGTTTTTTCCTTCTCTCACTTTTTATAGGTATATTTTTAGAAGTCAACGTCAAGCGTTAAAATTTCTCTCCAAAAAGACACACCTGACTCTCGTGCTTCTCTCCACTTGTAAAACCCCAAATTATTTCCGTGCATTTTTAATAAATTTAGTTTGATCTGGTTTTACATAAACGCACGTATGAGAATATGACCCGAGATGAAAGATTGGATAATTTTAATACCAGAAAATTAATGAGGCCGGTTATTTGGATATATTAACAAGAATTCATTTCACACTTCACACTCCATCTGCATGATGATTTATAAATAAAAGTATAATTACTAAAAAGGCGGAATCGCCGCGCGAGAGTGGTGTTGAAAGTTGTGAAGTAAAATTTAAGTGTAAAAATTACTTCTTTAAATCCGCGTTTCTCGTAATTTCGCTCAAGGATATCAGCTCTTACCAATACAATATAAAGTATATTTTTAGCTTTTTAATCATTTATTCAAAGAGAATTTAGTTCACACTAAATAAATAATTCAACTCGACCTTATATTTATATTAGACAATTTAGATTTCTTCAAATTATTGTTAGTGCATGTGTTTTTTCTGTTCTAATTAGTATAGATTAGTGTCTTTGATTGTGTTGCATGTAGAGTGTAAAGCAGTTTCGTAGGTCGAATCGCCTCAAGAGTGGTGTTGAAAGTGAAGCAACGCAGTTTTAGTAAAACCACTTAAAAACCTCTTGCAGATTGTAAATTTGTATATGAACAATGAAAGCTTAAATATAATTTAGTTTGAAAAAGCAATATAATTCATTTTTACTAGTTTTTGCATAAAAAAATTGCATTTCATTCTTCCGTCTATTCTTAAAAATTATAATTTTGAATAGCAGACTCTTATTCATGTCTTTGAAAAAAATTGAAAACTAGAGTTTATGTTTGAAAGTTGACCCAAAATAATCAAATCCATATTTATTTATTATACTGTTTTGCTTTTAAAAATTATTTCATGATATTAATGGCAGAGAAAATGAACTTCCGCCGCGGTTCATAGAAAATATACGTCCAAAAGAGCTCTCTAGAAAAATAAAAATTGTTCAGTTGGAAAGTGCATTATTGCGCGTCATTAAATTTTTTGCAATAAAATACGTCAATCTGACCAAAATATACTCTATTGAGGTCAACACTGTTTTTCCATTCCCACATCCGTGCAGCAAATTTTTGCCCTCTGCTGCTAATAAATTTTGTAAAATCTCTCATATTTCTCTGAAAAATTCCCAGGTGCGATGCAGAGCAGCTAGGTCGCTGATGGCAGCAGCAGACCTGACGGATGAAAACAACAAAATGCGGTTGGACAGTGCGAGCAACTCGGTGCAGGCGGCCACCGTGCAGGACGACGACCAGCCCATTGACCTCAGCAAGCCCGCCAAAGACGGGCAACAAGCCGTCACCAGCCACAAGATGTTTGTGAAAAAACGGTGGCTGGCGCAGAGTCAGACGGCGGGTTTCGTGCCGTTGAACCACATCCGGACGATGGCCCTGAAGAGAAGGGCCCACGAGATGAGCAGCTCCTCCTTCACCACAACCACCACGACCTCAACCACCGAAGACTCGACGTACAGCCGGCAGTGGGAGTTGGAAATGCGGCTGGACCGGGCCAACAGCCTGCCCTACCTCTCGGCCCTGCCGCCCCTGCAAAGGCAGAAGTCGCTCAGCGAGTCCAGGATTCCTCCAAAGGCCAGTCAGCCTGTGCAGACGACGCTGCCGGCGTCGCCGCTCAACTCGTCGGACGACCGGACTGTCCGGTGGCTCATCGAGCACCAGCAGGAGGTGCAGCGGCAGCGCATGCAGCAGCTGGACCTTCTGCAGCAGCAGTTTGCTGGCAGTCCCGAGCCCAGCACCGAAATCAACCTCAACTACTACACCAAGATGGTGCAATTCATGCAGAGTCAGGAAGCTGAACGGGCCAAGTTGCAGGCCCCGACGGTTGAGGAGGACGATGGCTATGATGAGAACGACGACGAGGAGTGCGCCGAGCTGGCCGAAATCGACTACTCGTCATCTCCTAGTCAGGTGAGAGTTTTTTTTTTAAATAGGTTAGAAATAGAAGAGCTTAAAATTTTAGACCAATATGACCTGAATTTTTTTAATGAAAAAGCCACAAATTGGACTCGTAGCAATCAAAAGATACGTAAAAATATAAAACTCGACTTGTGCATTAGTGTATCTTATTGACAGAAAATTGACTAATAAGGGTCTAATGGCATTTAGAAAAATTATCCAGCAAGATATTAATCATTGTTTAATTTTGAAACATGGACATCTTTTGTATGCAGATGTCTAAAATAGCCTCACTTAATAAACTGCTCTCATAAAGTATGGAAAATTGATTTTGCCAATCTCGGGATGAAATTAGTTTTTAATAGTATATAATATGTTACATAAGTTTGAGATCTTTAAAAATATTTTGGGAAAAAAATAATAATTTCAGTGTATGTTTTTTTTTCTTTTCAAATTTAAAACAGCAGCAATTTCATAACTCTGCAAATAGAGCCTTCTGAGCAAGAAGTTCAGCCGCTTTTGTTTCTTACTAAATCGCGACCACTTTTTTACCACCTTAATGCAATATAGCAATAAAAACTTACTTTCCCCAGCAGTGCTTACTTATTTTCAATGTATTTCAACATTGAAAATTATGAGCCGAGAAAAAATTAAACTAGACTTCATCTTTTTGTCCATTATTTTTTGCAAGGTCTTAAATTTGCGATTATACATTCTAATAAAATAAAAACACTTTAAAAATTCTTTCAGTTCCGAATGATGTATATCTTGGTTGACAATTTGGAAACGGATTTGTCGCGTTCACCATAAATGAATAAAAAATAAACTAGTTGCATGATGGCGATCAGCTTTCAAATTCAAACTTGTACCAAACCTCAAACCTGATTTGCAATATCACTAATCAACCGTTTATAAGGAGCCCACACATTTTTTTTTTAACATTTGGTAGGCACAAAATATAAAAAAATGGTAGGATTACGCAAATCAAAAGTTGTTTGCAGATTGAAAAATAAGGTCTTAAAATGAATCGGTTGACTTCTTGTCTGCTTAATGCTCAAATTTGTTGAACATATATTATAGTCGATTATATATGCCCTAAAATTTTATAATTTATAGTACTTGTTCAATTTGTAATTTAGAAAATTAGAAAGTTGGATCTGCAACATAATTTTTCATTTGAATATATGAGCGGCAGTTATAAATATGTAAGCGTGCAAATTTTTTATGCTGACATCAAAATATGGATGGCCCTCTCTCTTTTTATAAAATTTGAGATGGGTCTTTCGATATTAGTTTTTGTTTCTGCTGAATTAATTGCAGTACTTGCTCAAGCAAAAGTTAAAAAAGAAAAAAAAAACACCAGAAATTAACTTTTATTGTGTGAAATATTTTACATTGTTCCCCAAGAGCATCTTTTACTAATCTCATTTGAAACGTTTATGCATAGCACGTGTAATAGGTAGGCTGGTTTCATTGCGATTTTGTAACCGGCAATTGGTATAAACCTGTTTTGCATGTGTTTAAATTCCTGTACAGAAAGAGCTAAATGACCAGTTTTTGTGGCAGTATTATATATTAATCTAGTGCTAAATCCTTTTCTTTGCTGGATATTTATTGGTGATTTTTTTTAAGCAGAAAGTATAATTGGAGGAATTTTTCAGCAAATACGTTGCTTTAAGTCTAAGGTCTGAGGATAGCTTGTGCAGAGTGGCAAATAAAATTTTAGTTTCTTTTTTTTTTATTGATTCATAATTTAGAAGCAGGCATTGATGCATACGGCAGATCAGTTTTTATTTGACTCTTTCATTGGCCATTTAACTAGGAACTAATAAAATAAAATGATAGGCAAGAGATATAAATATTTAATTTTACATTTAATACTGTTTTATTAGATAATATATATTATATAATTTAATAAATATTATCAACATCATTTTTTGTGATTTAAATATGTCTAACATAATTGTAGGATTTTTAAATAATTGAATGCTTCTCATTAAATGTTTTCCTTACAGTCTGGTGAAATCCCTGGTGATGAACACAGTGAATCAAAAAGGAAAGCAACAGGGACTCGGCCAATGACTGGAAAGCATGTGCGGTCAGGAACTGGAGCCAAACCGTCCACCCTCCTAGAGCTGCGCAAGAAGATCCAAGCAAGGCAACAAATGAAAATGTCCCCAATAAAGTAACACCTCTACTTAAATATTTATTTCCTCCACTTGTCATGTAACTTACTTAATTTTTTCTCTAAGCAATGCTCTGATGCCGATACTGTGTGCTCAAAGCAAATTCCATCCTCAGTTGTACAAGGCGATGCTGTGCCAAATGCAAATGTAATTATTTTGCGTTTTTAGTTAGTATTTATATTTATTATCTATAGATCAATTAATTTGTGCTGAAGTTAATATCTCCTTGAAATGTTTATAGTTAGTTTGACTGATTTCTTTAAGAAAAATATCCGGCGTCTAGTTGATGTTTTCCACAAAACTAAAAAAAATGTAATTTCGTTGAATTATATTTCAGAAACATCCGTGCTCTTCAGTCCATATCAATGGGGCAGCCAAAGTATGATTTAAATATTGCGCCATTTGTAAATTTTTATACTTAATTATTTTGAAAATTCAATGTTTCCCATTTTACCATGACATAATTATCCATTCCAGTTGTGCAAGAAAGACTGACTAAGACACCGTGATGAATAAATTTGAATTTCATCTCCACCAGTGCATTTATTTCTCAAGATGAAAACTTTTTGTAAATACGAAAGACAAAAATAAAATAAAACATCAAATGTAATTTTGTGTAAATCATCATGGCAGCTTTTCTTTTATTTAACAAAAAAGTTGATTAACATCTTAAAAATTAATACACATTAATGTTGCACTTTGAATTGCGTTGCCATCTCGTAATTTCAGCAAGGCATTGTAAGGTATGATGGTTTTCCCAAAATCTATTATTCTAAATACTGTCAAGTTTACTTGTAAGTGGCAAAAAATGCCGATATTTTGGCTTGATCCCTGTTGAGCCAGGCAGTGTTGAGACGAATGGTCTCCACACTTTGCTGGACTGTGCGCTCGGTGCCTGGCACTGGACTCGTAGCGAAAAACTGCTCCACTTCTTTTGCAGCGTCCTCCGAGGCAAAGTTTTCGGTCACCATTTTTACCAGCCTTGCGATCAAAAATCCGCCCTTTAAACAAAATAGCATGAATTAAAATATCAAAAGAGAAACAAAATGAGCTTTTCATACTTGATATCTGTCGGTGAAGGTCTGCAAGTGTTTCTTCAGGAAGGCCCAAGCTAGGTTTCTGCCATCTCGAGACGAAGCAACAGAGCCTACTACAAATATGGTGTCCTGTGAGCGCACTTCATCCTGAAATTTTATTTGAATGAATTATGGTAAATTAAATAATATGCTTCTTAGACAAGTAAGAAGTAGAGTGGCAAATATTTCTCCACAAATGTAAAATTTCCTAATATTTACTCACAGACATGGCAAAATCAAGGACTTGCTGCAGCAGTTTTTGATCTTTGAGAGCACCCAAACCTCGAGAAATCCTGTCCTTCTCCTCTTGCAAGTCAGTACTGCGGTAAAGCTGAAATTAATAGAGTCGTTAAAACTAAAATAACTTTAGATTTAATTAACACCCACCTTCAGCATGGTATCAAATGTGGCTGCATCTCCGGCCGCAAGCACAGTCCGATAAACAGGGCTCCTCAGGTCAGCAGGCAACTGCTGCTCGCCACTAATGTGCTTTTCAAACCTAATCCTTGCTTCATTCACAATGTCCTCGTGTCCCAACCAGCCCAAGCGGCCAATAACCAGTGACCTCAATAAAGTGTCCAAATGACCTAAGAAACAAACATGAACCATTTAAATAATTTATAAAAAAAACCAAATACTTTCTCCAGGCTTGGGGTCCCAGCCAAGTTTGAGATAGATGTTGCTCAGCAGATTTTTGGCGTAGACCCTGAAAGGCCCCTTGCAGTCGTCAGCGTAGTCAAACAGAGAGTCTAGTTTGCCCAGACAGCTGCTCACATTGGACCAGACAGTGAAATTCTCCTCGCCCTCAGCAAAGGCAAGCATCAGTCGCAGAACCTCAGTGGTGTCTGTGTGTCCGGCCTGCACCATGGCGAAAACGTCGTCCAAGAGACCGAGCCTGTCCAGAGGGGGAAGAGTTTTCGATTTTATAGCAGGGATCAGCTGGGAGAGCATTTCTGGAGAGTAGCGGGTGCGGTAGAAACCAACAGTGCCAGGGTTAACTTTGACCCAGTCGTTTTCACTGACATTCTCCAAAGTAATGGTTTTGCTCTTTGTGTCAAAGACAAAGTTCTGAGCCACCTTGTCAGGCTCCTTGGCGGTGCTCAGGGTGATGGGAACCAGCCACAGGGCAGACTCGTCTTTAAAATCAATGAAAGTGATTTAACGAAAAATATGAATGACGGAAATAAAACAGTACCTTTGCAGTCTCCAGCGGCACAGAACTGTCTCTGGATAAGTTGCAGTTCTCTCGAGTCTCCTTTTTGTTGAGATGAAATGGAAATTACAGGAAAACCCTTTTGCTTGGTCCAGGAAGACATGACATCCTTGACAGGTTTGCCACTGGCCTCCTCCAGTGCCGCCCAGAGGTCTTCAGTCTCAGCGTTTCCAAATTGATGTCTTGTTAAGTACAGATTCATTCCTTTCCGAAAGTCCTTTGACAGATAAATTTAATGTCAGACACATAAATAATTAGTAAATAACTTCATAATTTATCTTTTCCCCCTATTAAACTTTTGTATTAATTACTTCACAAATTATTTTAATTAAGATCCTCCACACACCTCATCTCCAATGTATCTGTGCAGCATCCTAATGACCGAAGCACCCTTGTTGTATGAAATGTCATCAAAAATCTCATCAATTTCCGACGGGTGTCCAACAGGTACTTCAATGGGATGCGAGTTTTCCAGACAGTCTAGTTCCAGAGCCCTTACATACGTGTCTGTGACAAATTGCGTCCAAATGTCATACTCTGGGAACAAGTGCTCGACACAGAGGAACTCAACAAATGAGGCGTAACCTTCATTGAGCCACAGATGGGTCCACCATTCCTGTTAAAAAATTAAAAATAACAAAAAATACTTGAAATTATAACAGAAAATTTTACCATAGTGACGAGATTGCCAAACCACTGGTGAGCCAATTCGTGGCCAACAACCAAAGCAATCCACTGTTTTCGCACCGCCGACGTATTTTCAGAGTCAACGAGCAGGCAAGTTTCCCTGTAGGTAACAAGGCCCCAGTTTTCCATGGCACCTATAAGATAAATGATCAATTTGTTTCTAATTTCTGAGAGTAGTAATTTGCCTGCTGAGAAGTCTGCAATGGCAATAAGGTCGATTTTGGGCAGAGGGTAGGCAACTTGGAAGTACTCCTTGTAGTGGGGCAGAACTTTAGTCGCAACATGCAGGGCAAATTTCCCTTGTTCCTTCTTGCCCAAGGGTGTGTAGACTCGAACCTTGATTCCATCACCTAATAAAAAATTTGCATAAATTTATCAAAAATTATAAAATAATTTAATAAATATTTCTACTCACTTGACACATCTTCGACATAATCAAATTCTCCGACAACCACGGCTACCAAGTACGTTGACATGATTGGCGTTCTCTCAAATTTTACCAGTCGATTTTCTCCCTGGCCCTCTTCGGACGCAACCGGCTGAAATTTTTGGAAGTATTGTCAGTTTTAATAATTCCACATGATGTACTCTTATAAAAGGGACTCGGGAGTGCATTCCGCTGGGGAGGAGGCTCACCATATTGGACAGGGCGACCCTGTCTTGAGGCACGCACAGGGAGATGTCAAAGGTCGCCTTGATGGCCGGCTCGTCCCAGCAGGGGAAACACCTGCGTGCGTCCGTCGCCTCAAACTGAGTCACTCCATTATGGCGAACCTCGCCCGTCGGACTGAAACACAAAACCGAACGGGACAGGGTGTTAGTTTTTTCTAGTCTCGGACGGTGCCAAAATTTCACAGTTAAAATAGAGGGTTTTGTAAGTGGGAATGCACCGAGAGTGGTGCTCACCATGTTGCTCAACACGGTGCGGGCCGAGGACAAAATCGAGATGGAGAAGGTGCTTTTGATTGAGGGTTCGTCAAAGCACGGGAACATCCGGCGAGCACTCGTTGGACACAAATACGTCACTGCAGCAACCGAAATTACCTTTTGGCTGGATTTTGTCGACAAATCAAACGATAAATTAAAATTAAAGAAAAAAAATCAATATCAACAAACTAAAAAATAATAAAGAATTTAAATTAATGAATAATTTTTTCAAAATTAATTTATATTCAGATTGAAATAAATTTACACTGCGGTTTTTATTCATACCTGGTGTACTGACTTCTGTAAAATCCCTTCATTTTGTCATTGAGCTCTCCTGTGAATGAAATGAAAAGGCTCCCGACGCCAGGCTGAATGGGCGGCTGGAAGGTAAGGGTGGCTGTCTCCTCTTCAGTGGACAGTGCTACTTGGGTGGCGGGGGTGGACACCCCGCCTTCGGGGGTGTAAATGACCTCCTTCAGACTCAGATCGATGGAGTTCAGAATAATTTTCTCTGTGGCCGATGACACCTGCCAAAGAACAAATTAATTATATCTTCTCAGGCAAAAAATTGTTCAATTTCAAAAATTTACTTGGACACTGATTTTTGTGTTGCCATTGAAGGTGAAGGCCTGAAGGTCTGGCTGTAGAAACAGGTCGTAGTGTTTCGGCCTGACCACTTTCGGCAATCTTTCAAAAGGCTTCTTTTCAGCCATCGTGCTGTACGATCGTGCAGAAATATTTATTTCTAAAAAAAGTACCTATAATCAAAATTAAAAATAATATATAAAACGATAATATTTTATAAATAATTTTTATTTAGGAATAACATTTTATCAATCCAATATTTCATGAAAATTAAAAATTAAGACAGAATTTAAAATTTTCAGAATAAAACTTCTTGTTAGACACAAGAGACTACATTTCTTGAAAGTTAGTTTTATGATTTTCTTCGATTTCTTGCAACCTGAATGAACTTTTTGGCAAAAATAACTTGGAAATTTTCAGTGCAAACAATTTAATTACATAAAAAGAAATTATTTCATTGAATTGAGATTGATTTTGAATAAAAAATGCATTAAAGAAAGTCGATCTTCTTACCGGTGAACGAGTTTTTTTCAATGAAGGCGCAGTGCGTGACCCACAAACGGAGTAACGGGACCTTTGGAGTTGAAATCGGCTTTGCTTTCGAACACTAAAATTCACTAAGAGACGACCGAAAATGCTCATGAGCGGTCGATGCCGCCGAAGAAAATTGTTATCTTATCGGCGTGTCGACGTCGATCGCGCTTCGGCGTGTTTGCTATCGGCTTTTGCTGGCGCAGCAGATGATTTGCGGAATTTATTTATAACGGCACCTGCGTACTCGCAAGGACGAATGCCTCCGGCACCCCTGCTTTTTTGAAAAACGGCGCCAAAAGCGTGCGTTTTACCTATAATAATTGTCAAAAGCTAGTCATTTGCTTAACTTTATTATAATTAATTTGATTTGCATAAGTTTGTGTCAATTTTAATAAAATTATTAATTTTTAGAAATGAAAAGTTGTATTACCTGAAGGTGTTTGCTGTATTAATCACATTTAGGTCCATTTTGCATGAGTTCTATTACAGTAATTTTTATTTTATTTTAGTACAAATACATGATTAGAAGCTACTGGTACTGAAAACCGAGTGTGAGACTGTTTGAGTTAAGAAATTAAATGGAATATCAACTCTATCGAGACAAAAATACTTTAATACAAAAGTACGTCTGCCTGTGGATTCAATTTTCATAATTTGGCACATTTAGTGTTCAAATGAATGATGTGTTTTCTGACCCCAGTATATGCTCTGGGAATGACATACACATTACAAAATTCACAATCATAAGTCACTGGTCACTTTTATAGCACTTGACATGTCTCTTGCTGCACCTTACCAGGGAATGTCAACTCTCGATATTTACAGAGAACAACTTAAAATATTATAAATCAATCTTATTCAATTATCACACATTCACTTAAAAACAACTTTTCGCTAATAAAAATAATTTACGATTTGTAAAAATTCCACAAATGTGCAAAATGTGCTGTTCCTAAAGGGCAGGTCCTGCTCTGTCCTCGGGATCAAAATCATGGTGCGGAGACTGTCTTGGTGGAGAATGTGGCTGACCCGAGGTACCTTGGTCGATTGCCGTAGCGAGTATGCGCAGGTCTTCCACTCCTTGAAGTAAAGTCCTAAAATTTGTGATTATTAAAATTTTAACATGTTTATGTAATAATGGTGGGTGACAAAACAGTGACTAAAATAAATTTGATCAATTTTTTTAATTTGAAAATTTAATCAGCACAAATTTAAATGAAATAAATAAAAAATATTATTTGACTAGAATTTAAAAATACATGTTTTTAAACGTTGTATATAATATATTAATATGAGTAAAATTTTGTAACTGAATGTAATTTTGAATAAAACTTTTCTGTAAATTGCAAAATTTAAAATTTAATTAAAACCCAATTTTGTTACCTCAGGGATGACTCTGCATTTGATGCTGCAGCAACCAAACTTTGTGCTAGTCTTTGAGTTCGGTGATCAGGATGTCCACCTCCGATTCCTTGTCTGAGACTCGAGTTTTCTCTCCTCAAGGCTGCAAGTTCACTCTACAATTTGATCACATGAATGAGTGTCGGAATTGGAATGTGAAATGTTACATTTGTTCTGCGCAGGACTTCTTCTTTGTGTCGAATGACTTCTTGCTGCCTTTGAAGCTCCATTTCCAGCTGATCTGCTCGCCTTGTTGCCTCCGTCAGCTGCCTTCGGAGGATCCTCTCATTGTCAGTCATTCCATTCTAAAATTATAATCGGAATAAATAAATCGTTTCTTCTTTATATTTCAATTGACTACTCGTTCATTATCTTCGATCATAGCTACCGGCCCACCATCAGTCTCTCTCCCAGTTAAAATTGGTGCATCGGACAAAAAGTCTGGCAAGGACTGATTTACAGAATTGTCTTGAAGATTCATTTCTCCTCCCCGCAAATCCAGTGGTGACTGAAAAAAATTGTTTATTACAAAACATAAGTTTGGGGGATTTATTTTCACCATTCTTAATTGCAAAATGTCTCATTTAAATATTTTAAGAAAATAATAAAAAAATTTTGTTTAAAGTAAAAAAAGACGATTTTGTTTTGAACTTTTCTAGAAAATTAAATTTTATACAGCATTAAAAACTGATTAATTAAACATTTACTTGTTGTACTAGACTATTCCCAAGTCCTAGATCACAGGGCACATTGTCATTGGGGCCTCTTGCAGGTCGGTCAGCAGCCGAGGGCGCCAGGTCAAGGGGCAAACTCCCATTATTCTGAGAAGGTTCGCCGCCGTTCCTGGCTGTCAGGTCGAAGGGCAGTCCTCCCCTCTGGCCCAGGTCCATGGCAGCAAAGTCAGGCAGGTTGTCAATATCAATGTTGTTCTGCAGGTAGCATTGCTCCATCACCAAGTGGTCCTGCACAAAGTCTGGCAAGGCTGAGGTCAACTCTGCGGACGCACCTGGCGGACGACGAAACGGAGGAGAGTTCTGGTCGTAGCTGTGCCTCGGGTTGTCGTACACTTTGGGTCGAGTGCCTGTGGATGTGCTCGGCGACTGCAGAAAGTGCTTGAAAGAGAGAGATCCGCTGTCTTCCCGCCGAGGCATCTCTAAGAAAAAAAATGTAAATTTTAATGTTTTTTTTATTAATAAAAAAATTATTTTTAAAATGAAATATTTGATTAATTTGAGTATACAAAATGACGCGTAAATTAATTTTTAAATCTGAAATTTTTTAATAAGTTATTCTTTTTGAGATTCTGCCAGAAACTGGAGAAAACGCTAGAAACTAAAAATCTGAAAGGCAAATTGGCGCTCTGTGGGGGGCGTTTATACCCGGTGTTGAGTCGTCCCTGCTGCCGCGACCTCTGCGTTTTTGAGCGTGACCCAGGCCAATATCGGGTCTCCGGGTACCACTCGAACTCGAGGCACCGTCGTCGTAGGCGCCGTCTTCCTCCTCAGAGTCCCTTCGGCGCCGTAAATTTGGATTTTCCTCGTCGTTACTTCCACCTTTGTCGGCCATCGCTGCTTCTTCCAGAGGAAGGGCTGCCACCACGACACAAATTCACGCAAAAAATATCACTTAAAAAACATAAAGAAAAATCATTTTCAATATATTTATTTATCTTTAGCAAAATTTAATCCGTTTTTAATTAATTAATGTGCATTTTTTGTACGTGAGTCTGTGCAGTTTGTAAAAATTGAAAATTGTTTTTTATTTTAATGTCATGATTTGTGCTGCCACCTACTTAAGCATTTGATAAACTTTTCCGTGCCCAAAATCTCATGCTGTCAAAATCAGCTGGGAAATTATTATTATCGAAAAACTATTTTTATTTTTAGCCGCTGTCTCGCACACACGCTCGATTTCCCATGGCCAAGTCCACTGCAAGGGAAACCAATAATCGCAGAGTTATTTGCTAATGGAGGGAGCGTCTCTGGACTTGGCAGATAAGCAAAACCGACGAATGCAATAATAATGGTTATCAGCAAAACGTCGTCTTGAAAAAGGTACGAAGACAAAATAAAAAAATAAAAACTCTGTCAGCCCGGCCGGCTTTGTAAATCGTCAGCGCATGCATACAAAAGCAGCGTCTAAATTTAGAAAAGCAGCTTGTGCCAGCCCTTTTTTGACGGAGTGTGTTTGTTGCGCTTTAGATCATTGATCAATTTTTTATGTATAGATGACGGACCCGGAAAAGCAGGGTGTTGAAGAGGACATCAAAGTCCAAATTCTGAGCGTCGGCTCAGTTTGCAACTGCCTCATATCAGCTTTGGCCCTTGTATCACTCGGCTTTATTGTTTACCAGGTAAAATATTTAATTAATTTTGTCAAATTTAATTTTTTAACTTTTATTTTTCTAGTGCAAGGATTATCTTCGTTTTGTCTTGTTATGGATCGAGCAGCAAGACTCGTTGGTCGTGTACCTGATCTTTGTGGTGCTCTTCACGCTAGTCTCGTTTCCGTTCACCTGGGGCTACATTTTCCTCAATCTGGCCTGCGGCTATTTGTTCGGCACCCTCAAGGGTCTGTTTGTGGTGGCCGTCGCAGCCTTGATCGGCATCACCGTCGCTCACTACCTCATCCAGACATACTTCGCAGACCTTGCCATGCAGCGGCTGTTCAACAGCGAAACAGCAAAGGCCCTGCTGGCGGTCATTTCAGGGCCGCACGCCTTCAAAGTCATCCTTTTTGCCAGACTCACGCCCATACCTTACGGACTGCAAAATACAATTTTTGCTGTAGGTTGACCTTTAAATTTAATTAAAAATTTCTCTAATTTTAATATTGTTTTTATATTAAAATTTTGAAGAAAATAATTTCGCTTTCAATAATTCCAGGGCAGCAACATAAGCTACAAAATGTACCTTTTGGCATCGGCCACTGGTCTCTTCCCAACGCAGGTGATCAACGTTTATTTGGGTTCCACCCTTCGATCCATGGAGGATGTTCTCTCAGACGAGTCGACAGCCTCAACAGGCTACCTAGTATTTGCTGTGCAGGTAATATAATTTTACAAAAATCCTTCATTTTACTATTCATTGAAATTTTTACATTATTGTTTTGTTTTTAAATTACGAAATCAATTTTATTCTTGAAATATTTTTCCTTAGATACTGGTCGGGTGCCTGCTGATGACATTTGTGGTTCACAAAGCACGGGCTGAACTCAAATCAGCTTTAGACGACACTGAGAAGTGCCTGAAGCATCCGTACAGATGACTTCGAGGATGCAGCTTTAGCTAGTAGCACACACAAACTAAACGCTTAAAATATTTTTATTATTTTAGGACCTTTGCAATTCACCTTTTATTTCAAACTGCAATGAAGCAGATTTTTATTTATATTATTTCCAATTAATTCTTTTTAAACATTCTCAAAACGATTTATTAACATCATACTTAACTTGTGATTAATAATAAATGAAAAATTGTATTTAGCTGTGATAGCATCTTGATGCCTATGAGCATTTTCAAAATTATACTTTATTTATATTTGCTCATCGAAGAAAAGCTATATTAGCACAAGGAAGCAGTATGTCACAAAAAAGAACTAGTATGATTATGGATAGTCAATATATAATAATTTATACACTTCTTATTTTTTATTGAAAATTTATTAATTTTCTTTTACCTTTTATGCATAATTTATATTACTATACTTATGTTAGTAATATAAGTAAAAGACAGATCAACCACCTAACTATTTGAATTTATACAAGCCAAATATAGTACCAAAATTATTGGCCATGTACTCCACGGACTGTTTCATGATAAAGATAATAAATTTTTATTAATTTTTAGACGACAAATTAAGTTTTTAATTTCAATTTTATATCCTGCAATTGGTAAAATAGAAAAATAATTGAAAATAATCATTTTGTGCTTTTTATCAACAAGTTGTTTTTCATACTTCATGAGAGAGGGAAAAGCTCCCAACTGTAAAAATGATCTTGAATTTTCTGAAAACAAAATTTAAAAAATATGCATGGACTGCATAAACTCTTCCTTATAATTGTCTGACTTCAAGGAAGGTGCCACAACAGCGTATTTAGTAAACGCGGCGATAACATCAAGTATAAAACGCCCGGATGGAGTTCGAATCTCTCACATCAACTTTGAAAGCTCTTTCATTCATTCACCCGTGTAAGTGTAAAAAATGCTAAAAATAAGGCTCTTTAATTAAGGAAAATAACTTTTATATTTCCAGCTAAGTTATGAAGACTGCCCTTGTCGTTATTGTGTGCTTGGCATGCGTCAGTGCTAACGCCATCGTAGAAGACGCAGACCGCGACAAGAGATCCGAGAGCTGCGACAACTGGAGCGGTTCTTTCTCGTACACCATTGATAATTCCGACAGCAGCTGCTCCGACTCCTCCAGCTCTGATTCCTCGGATTCGTCCAGCAGTTCCTCCTCTTCAGATTCTAGCTCGTCTGACTCATCATGTTCATCGTCTTCTTCATCCTCCTCCTCCTCGTCCTCATCTTCTTCAAGCTCTTCGTCTTCCGGGTCTCTCGACCGAAGCGGCTCTGGCTCCTACTCGCACAGCAGCAACTGGAGGGGCAGTTCTGAGGAGTCTTGGGATGGATCCAACCGCAGACACCACGGTCATCACCACCGCCACGGCTCGTCCTCCTGCGACGACTGCTCCAAATCCGGTTCCGGCAAGAGTGGAATGCCTCTGTTCCCTGGATGCGACGGATGCAACGGCCTTCTTAACTTGGGCTTCCTTCCTTCGAAGGGCAAGCAATCCTCCGGTTCTTGCTCTTGCAGCAAAAGCAGCTCTTCCTCTGACTCGGATTAATTATTATAATCCGAAAAAATTGACAGAGAGTTATGAGGTGATTTGAAATTAATTATTAGATGATTTTCGCTGAATGCGCTCTTTATTTTCTTTCTTGCAATGATGCTGTGCTTTATTTATCGTTATAAAATGTTGTTACAAAAAAAAAATCCAAATAAATTTTGATGTGAGGAATATGAATATTTTTTTTTATATTATGCAGGAAAATTGTAAACTTTTTGAAGCCTATATATTAAAATTATTTATAATCAACTAGGAGCATCCAAATTTTTGAAAAGGTACAAAACCCAATATTTTTATCCGATTCATTTTATTATTTAGTGTTTACTCATCAGAGCTTAAAATTATTTATGGCGACACCAGCGGCGCTTTTCACATAAATTTCCCTAACCGCAAGTGTGAACCCACCATAGTTATACTCTCTATAATATTACACGCATAGTTCACCAGATATTACCGCTCGACCAACTTGTCTTCTGCTAGTTGATATTTTGAAGTCTCTTTTTCTGAAATATGGGAAGTTTAAAGGCTTTGGTGATTATCGCTGACGGGGTGAGCACCACCGAAATCATACCCCCGATCGACATGCTCCGTCGCGTCAACGTAAAAAATAATATTATTGATTATTTTGGATGAATTAAAAGAAAATCTTTATTTTTATAAGATTTTTGTAACGGTGGCGGGTGTGGATGGTCCGCAGCCTGTAAAAGCCGACTCAGATGTGATGATCGCTCCGGACAGTAGTCTTGACGACGCCCTGAAAAAGGGCCCTTATGATGTTGTAATACTTCCAGGAAGCGAGCAATGCTCATACCTTGTTGCCCAGGTAAAAAGTTCAAAGTGCAGAAGAGAATTTTTTTAAATTGATTAATTTTTAGAGCAAGCAAGCGGCGGAATTCGTGAGTGCTCACGCGGCGGAGAAAAAGATCGTTGGTGCTCTTGGGTTCGGTTGTGTGACCCTAGTGAATTTTGGTGTGGGCAAGGGCAAAAAAATCTCCGCCTCACCCTTCTATGAAGGTATTGTAAAGAATATGGACAAAAATAAAGAGTGGACTTTCGTTGAGAATGAAAACCTAATTTTTGATGGTAATTATATTTTATAAAAATTGAAATTTGTAATAAATAAGTTTAAAAAATTTCAATTGAACAGGAAATATAATCACAACCAAGGGAGGCCTGTATGCCATGGATTTCGCATTTGACCTGCTGCAGAAACTTGTGGGCAAGAAAGCGGCTGACGAATTGGCACAGTTTGTCATCCACACCCGTAACCCTGGCAAAAAATATGCTTGCGCCTAATAAATAGAATGTGGCGCTTAGCGTAAAACAGATTTATGCAGTTTAATAAACGTATTTTTTCTGGAAATTATATTATTTTGTTCATCGAAATTAAAACACCTTGTATTTTGTGTCTTTCAAACAATAATCATTATGGGGAAAAAGTGTTATTTTACGATTAAATAAATTTTTTAAAAAGATATAATAATTTTTATCAGCAAATAAAATTTAATATAATATCAAGATTTATTTCCTACACAAAATTAAATTTCAAATATTAATATTGATTCTAAATTAAATTGAGAACTCAATTCATTTATAAACATTTGCGTGAGCTATTTGTTACTAAAATTCCTCTAATGCATTTTTTTTTACAAAAGTTGAAATTGAAATATAAATTCAATACAAATTTAACATTCTTGTTTGTGGTTGAGCGGAAAGTTTCCAGATCCGCAATTGCCGTCGCTATTATTGCATGAGAGGTCAAAAAGCCACAAACTGAAGGTTATTCTTTTGCACTTCTTTTTATAGGAAATGCGTACGTGTTGAAAACATGTTTGCACAAAGTCAGGAATCCCGCGGTGACATTCTACAGTTTTGTAAACAGGAAAATGCAGTCGTGGAAACTTCCTGTCAAAACCAATAAAAAGAAGCATCTCAAATCTACTCACAAAGCAATCCCAGCAATCACTGAGTGAAAAACATGGCCTTGACTAAGACCCTTCTGCTTCTCGCCCAGGGCGGCGAGGACATGGAAATTTTCCAGACCATCGACACCCTGCGCAAAACAAAATTGGTATGATTTTAACTTTAAAATTTTTAAAATTGTTTCTAACGAGTGTGAAAAAAGTTTGATGTTACGGTGGCAGGAGTCACGGGCCCTGAGGTTATCAAAACTGCGGCTGACGTCAACTGCATTCCTGATGAAAGTTTAGATACGGCCCTGGAGAAAGGTCCTTACGACCTAATTGTCCTTCCTGGAGGTTTATACGGAGCACCAGTCTTAGCTGCAGTAAGAATATAAATTATTTAAAACAATCAACAGTTATTCAAAATCTGGTTTTATATAATTTTATTTTGATTTATGATACTTTAAAAATCTTTATTTTCATTTCTAAATCTTAAAATTATCCACAATTTTTCAAATTAAATTTTCTATTCATTTACTTACACTGTTTTAATTCGCAAAGGAAAATCAAATCATTATTTAAATTTTTTTTTCAATAAAATCTAGTCAGAAAAAGTTGGGAGGTTGGCCCGTGAGCAGGAGCAAGCAGGACGGATGATCGCGTCCATCTGTGGCGGAGGCTGGGCCCTGATGAAGCACGGCGTTGGCAAAGGCAAAAGGATCACCTCCTTCCCCTACTTCAGGGCACTGATGAGACAATTTGACGTCAAAAAGGAGTGGGACATAATCGACGACGAACGGGTCGTCAGAGCAGGTACGGGAAAAACCCCTTCTCTACTCCAAATGCAACCTGCAACACTTGCGTGTCGAGCAGGTTGCCTAGCGTTTGAAATTCTAATGTTCCAAATTTTCAATTTTTAGAGAACCTGATCTCGAGTCAGGGTCCGGGAACTGCTGCCGAATTCTCGTTTGCCATCGTGCAGCATTTCCATGGACGGGGAGAGGCTGAGCTCATTGCTCGCTTTTTCCTTTACAATTTCGACAGTGTCTTCCCGCCCAACATTCTCCCCAGCGATTAACAAAAAGTTAGTCGCAAAAAGTAAAATTGTTCTGTCATTGCAATGAATAAATAATATGCTTTCGTAAGACAAAAACTATCGTCTTATCTCATTTGGCCGTTGTGGAAAATTCACTTTCCATGCAGCGAGCAATTAATGTGGCAATGAATTGCCAGAAAGCTGATTCGGCGAGTTTTTAACTTTCTCAAGGTTTGCTGCGCCTTGCAGAACTTTAAACTTACACCTGCATGATAATTTAGCGCTCACTTTTAATTCCGCGTCCACACTTTGAAGAGGTAAGAGCTGACGTTTAATTATTTTTATATTTTTTAAATAGCCAAATTAAAATTTTTAATCAATTGAAATAACATTTAGGATAACATTTCTGAAAATGAAAATTCTCCTGCTTTTTGCGCTTGGAGTTCTAACCCTGGTGTCAGCAAAGCCATTGCGTGAAAATGAATATCCCGAAGTCACAATCGGGCCACTCGGACTTGAATACGCAAAACAGAACAGGATTAGGAAAATTCATTTGGATGGAGACTCCGAATATGACACCCCTGCAGACTTGGGTGATGTTTTCGAAGAGATGATTCTTGGAATTGGAGAGAGATCCGACTTGCAAAAAACCAGAAAGATTGCTGTCGAAAATTTGAAGAGATCTATTAGATACAATTTGGAATCTGCCAGTAGCAATAAAATAGATAAATGAGGACTAAGAATTCTCTGAATTTTTACTTTTTATAATTTTTATGAAAATATTTTTATTTGGTTATTAAATAATATAATTTTTACTCAAGCTGTCTGACTATTAAAAGTTTGTCTCATTAAAATACATAGTTTAAAAAATTAGAAATGACACTAATATCAAGATAGGATTACACATCTTTTTCACATATAAGCATATTAATTCGACCACTACAATTATAATATTTCAAAATTTAAAAAATCTCAAGCGTAGTTAAAACACAATTACTGACAAAGTTCAAGCGATTATCCAACATTTGGCCCAGATTTTTCTTCCTTTCACGTTTTTCACTCGCAAGTGGGCCGGTTGACGACGAAAAATACGTTGAGTTCGATGACCGAGGCCAAAATCAGGAAGCACGCGTACATGACCAGGCAGATGATGCCGACCTTGCGATCCAGACGGAAACGATTGCAGAAAAAGGTCATGTAGAGCAGGAAGAGGGTGGACAGCAGCGATATGGCGCTGTACTCGAGTCCGGACGACTGAATGGTGATGTAGTGGTGGTTGTCCCTGGTGGGGAGGAAGGCCGACTTGATGAACCACGGCAGGCCGAGGCACAACAGAATGTCGAAGGTGTTCGAGCCGATCGAGTTGCTGATGCCCATCGAACCAAAGCCTAGTATGTGAAATGACGAGTGTGAGAGAAAACATGAGATGTGAATTGATTTCGTAATTTGTAATAAAATCAGCATCAATTTTTCCCACCATGAGAATGTCATTGTTAAGCCACGTCAAAAGTCATTTTTTTTTTTAAATAATTTTCCAATAAATTGATAATCTTATTTAAATATTGACTTTAATCTGATGCAGTTTTCTATTTAAATATACTGTGAATTTCAAAATTGTTTTAATTAATTATGAGCAAAATTAAAATTTGTTTGAAGAAGTTGACACTCGAGGAGATGATCATGGAAATGAAGAGATCGGGCTTTTCCTCGTTGCAGAAAAATTGTTTTTATTCAAAAACAAATGGCTCTACCAGTTTCGGTCACGGTCTGCGACCCTATTTCATGAGCAAGAAAAAATACAAAAAATCAGCAAATTGAAAAAACACCACATTTTAAATAAAAAATTAAATTCTTAAAAACTAACAAATTCAGGTACCAACCTATTTCATGAGCAAACGCGCTGCTCGCTGACTAATACAAGAATGAGCTAGCTAAAGACAGATTGATTGGGGGAGGTGATCTTTATTGGGTGATTAGCGCGCGGCGCGGCCGACCACGGGGGCGCCGAATGACGTCGGGCACATTATGCGTTTTCGAGAAAAAGCTGTTTGCTTCCTCTCTCAAAAAGGACATCCACCTTTGATCGAATTGGTGGCTCGGTTGGCTTATTACATTATTACCGCATGCCATTGCCATTGCTTCCAGCACTTTTCTTTTTGATTGATTTTGTTCGAATTTAATAACCGTTGCATCTGACCAGGAAAAAGAATGGCCAAATTCAGTCGCGTGTTGAGCTATTTGAAAACCATTGCTGTCCGTCCCAATTGAAGCCGGATCAAAAGTTTTTGAAATTGCCCTTTTATGCTCGTCAAATCGGAAATAAACGTGTCTTTTTGTCTCCCCAATGTAAACTGAAGAGCAATCGGCGCATGGCACGCGGTATACACAATTACGCAGAGCAGGTTCACATTTGGGCTTTACATGCATTAAACATTTTCGCAGATTTGAAGAGTTTGAGAAAGCAACTCGCACTCTGGCAACTTCTTGGCTGATGGCCCTGATTTTCTCTGATTTTCCTTTAAAATAAGGAATGACCATTGTGGTTGAAAATTGTTCGGGGGCTTTGGGTGTTGGAGGATTTTTTGCTTTATTGTGTGCTTTGTTGATAAAATTTACGGGGTAACAATTTTGACGAAGAATTTTGTAAATGTTGGAAATTTCTTCTTTCAAAGAAATTTCCCCTGAGCAATAACTGTATGCTCTTTTAAACATTGACAGAGCAACAGAGAACTTGGTTGAGAAAGAGTGATTTGATTCAAAGTGGAGGGTTGAGTTGGTGGAGGTTGGCTTGCGGTAAACTGAAACTGCAATTTTTTCTCCGTCTTTTTTTAAAAGTAGGTCAAGAAATGGGATTTGGTCATCTTTTTCAAACTCACAAGTTAATTGAATTGAGGGGTGGATTGAGTTGCAAGAATCTAAAAATTTTTCGATTGGGAAAATTCTTTTTCTATAAATTATGAAATAATCATCTACGTATCGGAAAAACAAACGGGGGGATTGTTTGAATATTTTGAGACAAATTTCGTCAAAGTTTTGCATGAAAATTTCGGACAGTACTGGGGACAAAGATGAACCCATGGCCAAACCTGATTTTTGTTTGTAGAATTTATCTTTAAATTGGAAGAAGGTGGAGTTGATACTAAATTCAATTAATTCCAAAAGTGAGCTAACTGGGAGGGAGGTTCTATCAATTAGAGTTTGGTCATTTTCAAGTTTTTTTCTCAAAATAATTAAAAGATCATTTGTTGGGATTGAAGTGAAAAGGCTTTTTACATCGAAGCTACAAAATTGGTCAAATTTTGAAAGTTTCAAAATTTGACCAATTTTGTAGCTTCGATGTAAAAAGCCTTTTCACTTCAATCCCAACAAATGATCTTTTAATTATTTTGAGAAAAAAACTTGAAAATGACCAAACTCTAATTGATAGAACCTCCCTCCCAGTTAGCTCACTTTTGGAATTAATTGAATTTAGTATCAACTCCACCTTCTTCCAATTTAAAGATAAATTCTACAAACAAAAATCAGGTTTGGCCATGGGTTCATCTTTGTCCCCAGTACTGTCCGAAATTTTCATGCAAAACTTTGACGAAATTTGTCTCAAAATATTCAAACAATCCCCCCGTTTGTTTTTCCGATACGTAGATGATTATTTCATAATTTATAGAAAAAGAATTTTCCCAATCGAAAAATTTTTAGATTCTTGCAACTCAATCCACCCCTCAATTCAATTAACTTGTGAGTTTGAAAAAGATGACCAAATCCCATTTCTTGACCTACTTTTAAAAAAAGACGGAGAAAAAATTGCAGTTTCAGTTTACCGCAAGCCAACCTCCACCAACTCAACCCTCCACTTTGAATCAAATCACTCTTTCTCAACCAAGTTCTCTGTTGCTCTGTCAATGTTTAAAAGAGCATACAGTTATTGCTCAGGGGAAATTTCTTTGAAAGAAGAAATTTCCAACATTTACAAAATTCTTCGTCAAAATTGTTACCCCGTAAATTTTATCAACAAAGCACACAATAAAGCAAAAAATCCTCCAACACCCAAAGCCCCCGAACAATTTTCAACCACAATGGTCATTCCTTATTTTAAAGGAAAATCAGAGAAAATCAGGGCCATCAGCCAAGAAGTTGCCAGAGTGCGAGTTGCTTTCTCAAACTCTTCAAATCTGCGAAAATGTTTAATGCATGTAAAGCCCAAATGTGAACCTGCTCTGCGTAATTGTGTATACCGCGTGCCATGCGCCGATTGCTCTTCAGTTTACATTGGGGAGACAAAAAGACACGTTTATTTCCGATTTGACGAGCATAAAAGGGCAATTTCAAAAACTTTTGATCCGGCTTCAATTGGGACGGACAGCAATGGTTTTCAAATAGCTCAACACGCGACTGAATTTGGCCATTCTTTTTCCTGGTCAGATGCAACGGTTATTAAATTCGAACAAAATCAATCAAAAAGAAAAGTGCTGGAAGCAATGGCAATGGCATGCGGTAATAATGTAATAAGCCAACCGAGCCACCAATTCGATCAAAGGTGGATGTCCTTTTTGAGAGAGGAAGCAAACAGCTTTTTCTCGAAAACGCATAATGTGCCCGACGTCATTCGGCGCCCCCGTGGTCGGCCGCGCCGCGCGCTAATCACCCAATAAAGATCACCTCCCCCAATCAATCTGTCTTTAGCTAGCTCATTCTTGTATTAGTCAGCGAGCAGCGCGTTTGCTCATGAAATAGGTTGGTACCTGAATTTGTTAGTTTTTAAGAATTTAATTTTTTATTTAAAATGTGGTGTTTTTTCAATTTGCTGATTTTTTGTATTTTTTCTTGCTCATGAAATAGGGTCGCAGACCGTGACCGAAACTGGTAGAGCCATTTGTTTTTGAATAAAAACAATTTTTCTGCAACGAGGAAAAGCCCGATCTCTTCATTTCCAAAATTAAAATTGTAAAATTACCTTGTTTGGCCACAATGACGCTAGAAACTGCCTCGGGAATGCTAGTTCCAGCTGCCAGGAAGGTAATGCCCATCACACTGTCAGGTATTCTCAAAGTATCGCCTGAAAATTTTTCAATTAATATACATTTTTTTTTTTTTTTTACTGAAAATTGAACCTATTATTGTAATCGCCCAAGCAACAATGTAAGAAAGGCTGCCAATCCAAACGATGCACATGAAAAAAGTTGCGGGGAAGAACTTTTTCAATTTGGGATTTTCACAGTCTGGAATTGAGGTAAACAGAATCGCGTGGATCGGCCACGAGACGACCCATTTGATTCTGGACCAGAGTCTTTTGTGGCTTGGATAGTTTTTGAGGTACTCGATTTCTGAAATAATTTACATAAATTATTATTGTTGTTCATGAGCAATAAAATTGTTTACATTTAATTGTAGAAAAAATTGTTTGATAAAAAGGAACACGTTAAAGTAATTTCTAAAATATTTTGAATTTAAATTTTACCTGATTTATATCGGTCGGCTTCGTCCTGAATAACCTCCTCCATTGTGAGAACGTGGCCGTTTTCCTCGTCACCTGTCTCGTCCACCGGGGTGACCTGCTGCGCGTCATTTTCTGCCACAATTTGTTTCAAAGGCACGCACACCTCAAGGTCTTTAATGCGGAATGAAGTATTGGGTATTGTAAACAAAGTCAATATAAAAAAATTTCAACCTGCTGCGTCCTTGTCTGAGACGACGCTGATCTTGTTTGTTGTTTCAAGCTCCTGAGCAGGTGAGGAATTTTTGTGCTTTAACTTCCAAACGCTCTTGAATGCTCTTTGAATTGACTTGTCGTAATACATCACTAAAAAAATTATTTAACATTGGACTAATTAAATTAAAACTTTTAAAGATATTTTTTCTAAATTTAGTGCAAAAAAAACACCTCAAAATGCATGCATGGGTGTTTCCTACTTAACATTTGATTGGGTAATTTCATTCTTTATTTTTATATTAATTATCCCAAAATTTGACTGTCAGAGAACATAAAAATAAATGAACTTTCACTAAAACCTTTATTATTTTTAATTTGACTTAATTTTCAACAAGCAATTAAATTTTAATTGAAAAGGAAATTTCCAATCACACATGAACAGTCGAGTAAATTGATTAACTTTTTAATTGGCGTACCAGCTATGTAGAGGAAGTAGAGGAGGACGAGGATGAGCGCCTCGTACCACTCGATGCGCTCGTCCCTGATGGTGATGATGAGCAGGACGACGGTGAGTCCGTAGGCGACGCAGTCCCTGGTCAGAGGCCACCAGTCGAGCGGCACCACCATGCCGGCGCCGATGCCGCAGCACGCGGCCACGGCCAAGATGTTGAAGACGGCGCTGCCGACGATGGTGCCGACGCCGATGTCACCCTCCGTGATGAACGTGCCAATCACATTGACAAACAGCTCCGGCGCCGACGTCGCCGCCGCCATGAAAGTGGCTCCTGCCACGTCGCTTGACATTCCGAGCGCTGAAAATTAAAAATTAAAATACGGCATTTTAAATTAAACTGATAGCTTATGAATTTTTATGGAGAGAAAAAAAAATGCCCGCTTTTCAATGAAATTGATAATTATGAATTAATTACAATTACAAAACGTTTCTAAAGAATAAATTAAAATTTTGATTCTTACTTAAACATTTTTGGCATTTTTTTTTTGTTCATAATTATTTTAAATGTAATCAAAATTTTTAACAACATTACATAAGAATGCTAATTTCTTCTTTTAATTTAAATTTATTTTTACAAAATCTTAATTCAGAAAAAGTTCTAGTAATTTTTGTTTTGAATGAAGCAATTCATTTTAGTCAATTTTCTGACGATTGAAACTAAATAACTAATGTTGTAAAAAATGAATACTTTGATTTTATGCAAAAGTGTATTTAAATTATTAAATACATTTTCAGTTTTTATAATTGATATAGTATTTTAGAAAATATATTTTTATCTCAATTTAATTAAAGCCTTAAACTTACTGCTGCATATCCTTTCAACGGCTGGAACGAAATATCTCTCGCAAACCACGGCCAGCGCATAGAAACAGTACAATGAAATGAGTAGATGGACAATAAAGGCTCCTTCTTGTCGTTGCTCCTCGGTGAAAAAGTCGCCAGGAAAGTCGTCTATGGCGGGCGGAGTGCAGTTGGCGCTCACATGGCTTCCATCCACCCAAGAAATGTGACCACCTTATTTTTAAATATAATTAATTTTATAGTTTTAGATTTCTGTCACGCGCGGAAGTTCATAGTTTTTTAACCTGCGTGTATTTTGCCCTTTGTACTGTAATTTTGTTGATGATTTTCACAATTAAATAAACTCTCGTCATAATCACATATAGTAGTGCAAACATTACTCACGCTTTTTCTTCTATACAACGCAAACAAACTAAGACCGAAATACAAAGAAGCGTCTCGTACAATATTGCAATTTCAGTTAAATGCATCTGATGTTTTGCAAACTATTGGTTTAATAATAAAAAAAAATGACTCATTAGAAATATAAGCAAAGCATTTTTTTAACGGCTGATGGCTTTGAATTACAAACAAGCAGCTTGGAGAGCGGCGACGTTTATTTCTAGATCAGCACACCACACGGCTTTGATGAATTTGCTAAACCACTTAATTCAAGGACGGGGCAACATAACTCTATTAAACGTCAATCTCCTGTGGTTGCTTGTAACATTCAAGTGCTGTACTTGCAGGTTAAAAACTTTTGAACAAGAAAATAAACAAAATTAATTGTAAGAAGAAGAAAATATATTAATTTAAAAAAAAATCAGACCGGCGTTTTTGATAAAAAATTTAATTAAGAATATCCACAAACGAAAATTTTCTCACCGTGTAGGAGGTGCGTGATGCGTGTAGATCCAATTTGCTCCACGCCGCTTTGGTTGGAAATTTCCATGGTTTATTCTGAATAGATTTGTGGCTAATTTTCCAATCGATTAAATTATTGAATATCCATTTCTTTCGTCGCACTCTTGGTCGCTTTGGCTGCTGGTTAATTATTTCGCTTTCACAATCCGTCGCACGACTGCTCCGAGTTCGAATGGCTCATTTGTGCAGAATGGGCCGCGTCAGCAACCTGTTGCTCGCCGCTGCGCTGACCGCGAGCACTCTGCAGAACGCGATGGCGAGCCTCTACTGGGACACGGCCAGCGAGGGCTCTGCTGCACGCACCAAGAAGAGAGGCGCTAAAAATTACACGTCACACAAAATCCAAAATAAAAAATAATTATTCAAAATTAATAAAATTTAATTAATGTTTATTTTGATGTCCTTATTAGTGTTAAAATAAATTGTAATAAATTTTTAATTGGAAAACATTGCATGAGATAGAGACCTTTTTTTAAATTAAAACTACAAAAGTCTCCCCGCGACTTATTTTATTTACAAATTATGACATTATTATAAATTGTCACATAAAATTTTATTAAAATTTATGAACAGGATCTAATGCATTTAGATCAAAGCTCTAAATGTTCATTTATTTCAGAAATATTAAAATTGAATTAAGATCTTAAATAGAATGAATTAAATTTCTGTTCGATTATTATTACTACGCTAATAGATTTCCCATTTTAAAATACGGATAATTTTGAAAAATAAACGGCATATTTTCCAGAATAGAATTAATAATTTGAGTTAAAATATTACTATTACCAAATCACTCTCAACAATCTTTGCGCCTCTCTTCTTGTATGAATATGTCGCCCTGCTGTGATTATGTACGGAATTAAGGCATGTATGTAGGAATGATTTAGCCGTCGAGTACAGTCCGTCACAAAATACGACCCCCTGTCATCTCGCCGGGTGACTAAGCCAATCCGGCAAATAATAAAAATGGTATAAGAAACATGTCAAAGGTCGCGTATTTGCAATTTAGTTTCTCATTCCCACTTCTTGTATGATGTGGAATGTGGAACAATAAAAATTGGTCTGATATTTAAAAAAAAAATACTATATTATAACTTTCAAAGCTATTTTTTTCCATAAATTGCATAGTCTCAATCGTAAATCCAGAGATTTATCACAAATTAATTTTTTCTATACTAAAAACTATATTGAAAAAATTAAAATTATTAGAAGAAAGTGAAAGAGACCTACCTATAATTTCTAATTATTATGAATTATTCTTATAAAATGTAACGACAACCAGCAAAGTTTCATAAAGCTGATTTTTCTTATATAAAATGTACTCGTGGAGGAAAGATTTATCTTTAAGGAAGTGGTTTAATTTGATAAGATAATTAATAGATTTTTTAATATTCCACTTCACTTTTATTGCTTTTCAAAATAATTTTATGAATTTTTGCTGCCAGCTCTTTTTTATTAATTTCCTCCTGCTCGACCTGCTCATCTCAAGCAGCTTGTATAAATTGTGGTGTGTCCCTCATTATTTCTTTTCATTATTTGTGGAGCGCGGGACAAAGATTTGCACGTCTCATGACGTCAAATGAGGAATAGCTTCCACTTGTCGCATAATAGCCGCGCATCTCTCTCTCATTCTTATCAACCGCGCGCTCTCTCTCTTGTATTTATAGACACGTCCCAATAATCACACGCGCGCCTTCAACAGCATCAGCAGGAACGCGACTAACCAGGGTTGATTGCCCTCGAGCTCGGCTATAGCATTTTTATCCCGTGCGAAACTCGGAAGTTGTTGATCAGATATATAAATTGATATTGATGAAATTAGCGACCGTTCGGCATGCAGCACACGCACCAGGCGGTGTGATTTGAGACAGGCAATGCATTTAAATTGAGCAATTGCGATGATTTATTCAGGGCAATTATTTTAATTAATTCTTATTTCGGATGCGGTATAAAATTTTTCAAAACTAAACACTATAAATGGCACTTTTTATAATTATTTGTTAGATTTAAAGTTAAAATTTTTCTTGGCAGCTAGAAAAAGATATAATTTATGAATCGATCATCATTTATGGCTGAACAATTAAATCGATTATTTTCATAAATTTTCTTTCAAACAGAAAAAATTGTTACAAATTCAATAAATAATTGTGTTTTTCATCTCATTGGAATTTTAGAAATTTCTTAATAATGAGTTAAAAATAATTTGAAGAATTTTAAAAATTTCAAAGTAGATAGTTGGAGCATTGTTATCGGGAGGAGGGAATTTTTTCTTCAAATCCAATTTGTAAGAAAGAAGCAAACAGTGTCGGCATGCATGACCAGTGTGAGAGCTGAATGATGATATGTTGTATAAACATAGACGTTGGACTGATAAAATGCAGGACGGATGAGCGCAGGCCGCAAGAATGGTGTTTAATTTATTAGTCCTCCTTTCCACAGCTCTTTTGTAAAGCTTTTGGCCAAAGCGAAGCGGTCTCTAGTGGTTTCCCAAGGAACGAATTAAAGCACAGCCCTATATACAGTATAAGAACCTCATACCTACTGTTAGAGTATTTTTTTATTATGCCAAACAATGATCACGAAAGAAAATCATTACAAAATTACATAATTTTTTCATGTATACAAAGTTAAATTTTTTGCATTAAGTATTTTTTTAAATCTTTTTAAATGAATCAAAGATATAAATTAAAAATTTTCCCTTGAAAAAAAATCGTTGAAATTCATTTTCATTAAAAGGAAATTTATATCTAAAAATTATTTCATTTGTTTGTCTAGACTCTAGGGAACGTCATAGGCAAAGATAAAAAGACCGAAAGATAAAGATTTCCACCCATTCATTATAAAAAGGGTCCACGGCTGTGGGAACCTCATTCATCGCTCGATCTGCTCTCGTCCCTTGATTATCCAACATGGAATTACGGATTGAACCAAAGCGCTACTCACCGGTTCGGGGCATTAATTTGCCAATGCAAATCCATGGAATGTGAGTAACTGCGATTTTTTAATAACGATGTAGAAAAAAACTGAGATTTTTGCACATAGCATTTTTGTTTATCATAGCGTGTCCGTGGCAATTGCGGGAGTCGAGAGAGGATATCGGCGGCATGTCGTATTAAGTTTCGTGCGCTTTTATTGATTTGGTGTGTTGTGCGGGTCACATGCTTGGATCCTATTTCATGCGTCGCAAAAAATTCTAACCCTTTTTGTGTTCGAGAGACTCATCAGCTTACATTTCCCACTTCACGAGCGAGGAACACAACTTAGTTTTAAGAAACGTGTTGAAGTTTTTTTTATCATTCTCAAACAAATTAGTTTTGATGTTTTTGTTTAATTGAAGTTGGACAAGGGACACAAATAAAATAGCGAGCAATTTTTTAATATATTCCAGACATTTTTTACGTTAAAATCTATATAATTATAAATATGTCAATGATATTATAAAATTTGGTGATGAAAATTCTATAGATCAATAAAAATTAAAAATAGCTTAAAGCGTTATTTAAAATATTAAGAATGCAAACATTTTATAAATAATTAGCGCTTGCCCCCGCTTATTAATTTTTGAAAGTTTCAATAGTAGAATCCAATTTTTAAGTGTTTTAATTTTGAATTAATCGTGATTTTACCCTTGAGATTTAAAAAAATCACTGTGTGGTGAAGTGCAAAATGATAATCATCATATGGTAGGGACGAGCGCAAAATTTGCAGATAAGCGCGTGATCTACTGTATATAACGAGGATTATTTTTTAGTTTTCCGTACAGTTGCGAGGGAAGAAACTAATTTTCACGAAAGTAGAGAATACTTTTCTGGTAAATATTGTTAACTTTTAGTAATTATTTCTTTAAATTGCTCTACATATTGTATTCAATTGCAATATTATTCCCAAATAATTGATACTTTCAAGAGTGGTCAAATTTTTACTCATGAAATAATACATGTTTCATTTTTGTTTATTTATTTTTTAACAATGCTACTGAAGCCACTTTCTCTTCGAATTGTTATTTGTTTACTGAATACAGGCCGAGGATGACCTAGTAGCGCGCGCCGCACACTCTCTCGCGAAACAGCGCCCCCGCCGCAACCCTCCAACCCACGTCTGGTCACAGTTCGCCGATCGCCGTCCCATCGACTGCTGACCATCGGAATATATTCATTCATTTTCGGTGCTCGTCACTCGGCGCGTGACCATGAAGCCGTCGACCCGCAGGGGCAGAGGCGCTCAGGCCCTCTTGAGCTGGGCCCTCGCCTTTCGGGGCGTTATCATGCTAGGGGTGCCGTTGATTTACTTCGCACTCGCTTCACTTTTGGACAGGCAACATGCAGGTAAGATTTCGGCATTGTTATGAAAATATAATTAGGAAGATATTATTAATCGGCGATTATTTTAAGAGAAGTTTTGAATTATAAGGTTGAAATTTACGTTGTGTTGGAATCCTGAACGGATTTTGGTGCATACATTTTTGCGTCAGCTAAACAAGGAAATATTAAGCTAATAGTAAAAATACTGAAAATGTTTTATTTTTTCATATACTATGCACCACTTGCAAAAACCCACAGAGAAAAATTTGTGTCAGTTTCAACTCAAAATAATTTAATTTTAAAATTAAATTGTTAAAAAAAAAATAGTTATATTCTAATTTTAAAGTAAACCTAATATCCATATGAAAAAAAATTAAGCCGTTTATAGAGGAACTTTTATTATTCTATAACAACTGGAAAAATTAATATATATAGTTTGTGAAAGTTTAAAACGTTGTCCAAATTCTATATCGATTCCAATTGACTTTTATTTGATCGAAGATTGAAAGGAGCGTAGAATGAAGACTCTAAAATGTCTCAAACATTTTCGCTAATTATTTATCTCATCATACATTTCTCAATGTCTCTAAACGATAAAGTAAACATCTATTTGGCAAGATATTTAATTTAGCTAAAAAAATAATGTACAATTAAAAATAATTTAAACAAATTATATAAATCAATAATAGAAGGAGTTAATTTTTCTTTAATGTCCTGCTGTCATTTGTCATAGCTACGAGTTCATGGTCACCACAGGCGAGTCCGATGTCCCGCCAACTTTTGTCCGCGATGCGTCTGACGGCCGACGATGGAACGCCCGAGGCTTTTAATTGCACGCCGCCGGCCATTCTCGACTTTCCGGACGACGTTTTCACGGACGCCGAGCGGCGCCGTGGCGCCGCCTTGTGCCACGCATTTTTCGCGTTGTATTTGTTCGTCCTGCTGGCCATTGTGTGCGACGACTACTTTGTGCCAGCCATTGAACGCACCATCGACGGTAAACAAAAAAATAAACATTGAAATTTTGGGCGCCATTGACGTCAATTTGTCTAGCGGAATGTTTGCTCCCGAATTTGGGTATATATTTAATCCGGCTTGTGATAAGAATATGAATTTTTGACCAACTTTTTCATAAGTTAAACGGACTTTGGTCTGAATGGAAAAGTTTTTAATCTCTTTCGCCTGCATTTAATCTGTTTATAGCATAAAAATTATTTTTAAATTATTATACAAATTTTCTCACTCATGAAAATCAGCATTGTATTAAGGGGAGAAATTTTTCAATAAAAATCTTTATTGATAATTTGTGTAATTTTTGTTATTGCAGTTTTGGGTATATCTGATGACGTGGGTGGCGCAACACTGATGGCTGCAGCCACTTCATCTCCGGAGCTGTTCATTAATGTGGTTGGCACATTTATCACGGAGGGTGACATCGGGGTAGGCGCTGTGCTGGGTAGTGCTGTTTTTAACATACTTGCTGTGCCAGCGTGTTGCGGGATTGCGGCATCTAAAGTGAGCAGAACATTGTTTATCAACGTTCTTATTATTATTTTTATAGATGAGAAACGTTCGGCATAAAAATCTAATTATTTTATTATTTCAATTATAAAAATAATCTTTTCGATTCAATACCGCAGAACTTTTAATGTAATATTCTTAGGAAATTTGGTTGGACTGGTGGCCAATGACCAGAGATTGCGGTGTTTATGCTTTGGCGGTGGTTGCGCTGATTGCTTGCCTTGCCGATGAAGTGGTTCAGTGGTACGAGGCGGCGATTTTGGTCGCCATGTACATAATTTACATAACTTGTGAGTTGACAATTCAATATTTTACTAGAGAATGCACATTCAAAATAAGAAATTGTAACTTAAATTTTTATTTTTATATGATTGCATTCAATTTTTTCCTATATTTACAAATTTATCTGTATGTATGTCTCAGTGATGTGTTTCAACGTTAAAATCTCGCGGTGGGCCAGGAAGATTTGCACATGCTGGGCCTCGCCGCCCGAAATGACGCCTCTGCTTCCTCATCCTATTCCGACAAAGCCATCAGGTGAGGGAATAAAATTCACACAAGTTGTACGTTTCCCTTTCGCCTTATAAATGTTTAAATTTTTTGCGTGCTGAAAACTTTGCCTCTCCTTATTTTGCTGGTGCACGGAAAATGCAGTTTCGAGCGAACAGGAGGACTCTCTGTTAGCTTGGCTCCACAGCTTTGACCCCAAAGCGGCAAAATACGAGTCGACCTCGTCTCGCCAGCCTAACGAAAATATTAACGTGGAAGGTACATTAGCTCATTACCTTTCAGCACATTAATTCAGTTATTTGAAAACTTTATTAAAAATAAAATTATGGATGAAAAAATTTAAAAATGAAAAACGCCTATATTTGAGATCATTTAATATTTATTTCCGAGTATGTTGGATCCTCAGTATTTGCAGTTTGTTGTCTTAATTCGAAAGCATTATACATCTCATTAACCTCTTCACCTTCATCCGAGGCAACCGTTTTATTTTTTGTACTTTCGGCGATTGAACTCTTTAGCCTGCATCCAGTGTAAATTAGAGCAGCCACAAGCAAAATGTTGAAAATGAATGAAATTATTGAAACTATAACCAAAATATTATTTCCAAGCGCCAAAAATGAGGTGTGACTTTGAGCATCGGTCTCTGGAATCTCCATTGCAGATTCCTTGCCATTCATAAGTGTTGTATTTTTTAGATCTGACCCATTATTACCAGCATTGCTTTGCTGCTTAAAACATTCAAACTGATTATCATGCAGAACTGCGGAGAGGTTCATTTATTTATTTTAATTGTCCTCAAAGTTAATAAAATTAAGTTAACACGGCTTACCCTTTTTCGTTGCCACACATGACAGAAAGTTGTTATTATTTGAGAGGTTGCAAATCAGTTTTTGTGGAGGAAGAGGTTTGAATTTGCATTCACCGCCAAACCAGCAGGGACATTCACATTTAGGGAGAACTAAAATTAAACTTTCTGTTATATATTTTTAATTTCAAATTAAAAATAATAAACACGCCAAAAATATAAATTAAATTTGATAGAATTTTTTTTTGTATAAAAACTCACTTATTATGTAAAAAACATACCATTCCTGCTAAGTTCAACATCAATTCCAGAAACCTCGATTGCCCATACGAAAATTATAGTGGGAATAACATAATATCGTTCCATTTTTTCCTCTCCTGCGTTTGAAACTGCTTTACTAAATAATACCAGTGTAGGCCACAGCATGCAAACCATATATTACAAATTCTTATCCTCTCCTTTTCGCTCTCAACTGACCTCACCCTGTTTCCTGTATGTTTAAATCTTACTAATATGTAGTTTTTGCTCTTCCTGTTTTCGCCCATATCAGAATGTGCTATTACGGTGATAAGAGCGGAAGAAGACGAAGACGACTGGCGCCAGTGCTCCTGGTGGAAAATTTTCACGATGCCAATCAAAATTATGCTTTGGCTCACCATTCCTGACTGTAAAAAGTATCCGCGATTGTACCCTTTGACATTCATTATGTGCGTGTGTTGGATCGGCACCATGACCTACGTGATATCGTGGATGATCACAGTAATAGGTAAAATAAATTTAATGGAATTAAAATAAAGATATTGTTGAAAAAAAATTAAATGAAAATCTAGAAATTCATACTTTTTGTTCTTTTACTATAAGAAATTTTTTAATTTTAATATGAGATAAAATTTAAAATTTTTAACAGGGGACACTTTGAGAATACCTGACAGCGTCATGGGAATCACATTTCTGGCTGCAGGAACAAGCGTCCCAGAGGCTGTTTCCAGTATCATCGTGACAAGACAAGGTAAATAATTGAGAAAATAAATGTATATATTTTAATCTTACAAAATAGAAAAAAACGCAGTTTTTAAGATTATATGGACACAATATTTTTCAGTTAAATTAAATTAATTTATGCTCTTGCCAAATTTAGACATATTTTTATTGGAGAATGAGAAATAATGAAGTTTTGCAGGTTGCATAACTGACTGATATAAGCATTTAGGAGACATCAATTAATTAACAAGAAAAATGAGCATGTAATTGCAATAAAAATTTAAATGATTTTCAGGTCACGGAGGGATGGGCATCAGCAACTCTCTCGGCTCAAACACCTTTGACATTCTGCTCTGCCTTGGCCTGCCGTGGCTCATCAAGGCAAGCATACTGGCCACGGCGGCGCCTCTTGTTGGTCCGCCGCGGACGAGGGAAGAGTTCGAGCGAGCCGTAGTCATCAACTCGGACGGTCTCGAGTACAGTGCCATAACCCTTTTGGGGTCCACCTTGCTGCTCTACGCCACCTTTGGCTGCTACCACTTCCGACTGAACAAAAAGGTGGGCCTTGTGTGCCTAACCTTGTACGCGCTTTACCTCACACTAGCATCACTCATCGAACTGAACGTCTTTTTTCAAGTCAATTTGCCAGTTTGTGGAAGATAAATTAATAAAAAATATACAAATGAGCATTTAAATATTTTCATTTCTTATTTATTTTCATTAAAGAGAGATTTTTTAACTGCTAAAATTTTTAGTGTTCGAGATGATTAATTTTTTTTTTAATATCATAAATGCATTTATATCATAATCAAGTAAAGAAAAAAATAAAATTCAATATCATATTCAGAAGCTTGCGATATGATGAAATATTGTTAGCTAGTAAACATTGCTTATTGAAAGAGTCAATTAGTGCACACATCAAGATAATAAAACAGTAAAAAAGTAAAATATAATCAAATTATTTGGTAGAATTATAAAAGTGGTGGTGCCGTTTTGTCCAACGCAACGATGCGGAAGTTTGTAACAAAACAAGTAATTCTCGTGTGGCATATTATTAAATTAAATTAAATGGTTAATTTGATGTTTCAAGTTACTCATTTCTCTCTTTTTGCAGCTTTATTTCTGCATACAAGGGCTCATAAGTTGTCGTTTTTACTTCGCCACGCAATGGCACGTTGCTGGAACTTACTTTTCCATACATTTCATTGATTTCCTCATCATCATCATCAGCTATATTTTCGACATCATTTTTCAGAGGAACTTTGCTTGGCGTCTCTGCCTCAACTTTGACAATGTTGTTTGATGAAACATGCGATGTCTTGCAACAGCAACACATGACCAATAATTGGACTGCGTTCAAAATTAATGAAATTATACAAATAACGGCCAGTGCCACAGCAACAGTTGTGTCGACGGAGATTTTTTCGCAAGAGGTTGAACTAGTAGGCAGGTTTTTGATCAGGCAGGTTTGTGTTTTGTTGCTGTAGTGACAAATAGCGTTGTACAATACATTGTTCATATTGCCCACTTTGTACTTCCGTGTCTAGATGTGCAACTAAAAAAAAATCCCTTTCCCATTAATTAATTAAAATCCTTTTTGCTGAAATAGAAAAAATTTAAAAATTATTAAATTATTTTTCAATTTTGTGTACCTTTTAATTTTTGCAGTAGATTTAATTTTACTTCCTTAAGTCTTAAATTACGCTGCTCTTCTTTGCCCAAGCTCTCAAACGAACTGATCATCAGCTTGTAATTTATATTTGAACAAGGAAATTTTTATTAAATCTACTATTGGTCCGTTTTTAAACTGGAAAACCGCAAGTATATGCGCAGCAAAACTGATTAGTTCCTTATCATTCAACTGCAACTTCCACCCAGACTTATCACATTCATAGAAAACCCTTGCAATAAAATTAGGAAAATCAACAGTAATGTTATATTTTGTTAGAAGAACATTTTAATCAAGAAATAAGATTCAAATTTCTAGACACTAATAGCTTCAAAATATGTTTATTTGTTGAAATATTATTACAAGCGATAATCACAATTGATCAGGGAGGAGTAATCATGTCTCAAGAGATTGGCCACAAAAGAATTGATTCGATCAATGCCGCATCACACTGAAAACGAGCTCGAGGACAGTAGAGCCTTCAACCACCTGCGAAGCAGCCTGGTGTATCACTGGAACTAACTCATCATCCAAACTCTGCATGTAGATGGGGGGTAACTTCTCGCCACCACTTCCGGCTTCATAGCCAACCTTTGAAATCCAAAGAAAATATTAAAGAGATGCTTCATATTTGCCATTACTTGTTTTGTTTCCATTACTTAAGTATACATTTTAAAAGTTCGAATGGAAATGACACATTTGATTAATAACTAATTGAATTTGCAAACCAGATTAGATAAATAGACAGTAATAGAAAGATATTTTGATTTTAAATACCTGCTCAGGATTTAGAGTGATGCGAACGGCCAGGATGAGAAGACCAGCTGCCGCCAACATATCCAACAGAGGGACAAGAGCCACACAAAAGGCACGGGCAACATTTCCAGAAACACGACTAATATCTAAATCTCCCCTAGCTGCGCCAACATCCTCACTCTGAAAAGGAAATATAAGTAGATTTTGCTGCAACTAATTTAAAGGCAAACTTACAACTTTCAGAAGAAAAACTTCAGTCCATCGAATAAAACATCTCTCACCACGATAATCAGTGCCGTTGTGCACCCGAATCGAAGGCACACCTTCTAATTTTGCTCCATCAACTTGACTACTAACACTAAATTTTAAGCAAATTATAAATAATTTTAAAGTTTTCCAGAATAAAAAGCTTACCCAACATTGAAATAACGATCTTCCTTCACCCACTGAATGTTTATAGTTTCTGTTTCGGCGCCTGCCGGCCCGCAGGCTATGACAAAGTCCTTCATTTCCCTCAGCGAATTGCACAGCGCCTGCATTGTATCAGACAGAACCTGCACCATCAAGCCATCCTCAACAATCGAAGATTTAGCTGATAATCCAGCTGAAGTCTTCAGAGCTCCATTAAAAACAATAAAGCTCGCTCCAGTTGCTAAAAATTTTTAATTTTATTAAATGAAATTTAATAATAAAATGAATATTATACTCTTTCTAGACGTGTTTTGGATGCTGATAGCTTTGGAGGTATACGCCTCATCCTCTCCTTGCACACAAACTAAGTGAGAGTCTGCGTCCCTGCTGAAAGAGGCCCCGAGAGCTAAGACGTGGTCATTGGCGTTGCTCAGAACTCTGGCAACTTGGTCGTATCGATTCCGTGGGATAAGCAGGGATGTCTTTTTGTCTTCCATATGAATAACTAGGCCTTGTATGCAAGGAAGAGTATAGGTAAAATTACGAAAGTCCTGTGGAAAACGACAGTGATAATTTGAATTTTAAAAAATAGCGAGAGCAAAAAACTCACAGCTAATAAATCCAGTATCGTTTGTCCCACTTCACAGAAAACAGGTTGCCTCTCTCTTAGACTGAAGAGTGGGCAGGGGTAGTATCGAAATTCATAGCCAAGTCGAAGAACAAGTCTAAATTCATGAAAAAAAAATTCGTCAATAACAATTGGGATAAAAATCATTAATCAACAAAATCGTTGAAAAAGCTAACCTTAATGGAAAAAGCCTGGCCCACGGAACCTCCCATTTCTGCAAGAGCAGAGCTACGAGAAACGGAGGTGGGGGTAAGACGAGTCTCTGCAGGCACTGCGTGGTGGGTCTGATGTAAAGAAAGCCACCCAATTGCCCTGAAAGGGTGGAGTGGCCCATTTCTGTGACAGTATTGCCTCGACTAGCTTCCGAGTGGACACGCAATATGTGGGCAAAAATATCTCTTGGTAAACGGTCGTCAGGACGAGCCTCGACTATGAAGACCATTTCATCTTGGCCTTCGCAGCGCAGTCCTCTCGTAGTCAGACACCAAACAGTCCGGTGGACGCAACAGTTTACTAACAAAAAAATTTAAATTATTTTAATTTTTCATTAAATAATAAAATTGTAAATTGTTGTAAGAAAATTTAAAACTGAAACTTACAATTGACGATTTTCACTAGGACAAAGAGATTCTTCCCCAGCGCAAAAACAACTGGTGGATCAGCCTCGTTTCTGATGGCGCTCAAAACTTTGTCCTCCTCAAAGCTCGAGTCCGACAGAAGGGTGTAGGAAGCAAGGTCTGGAGGCACCAGAGCCTCAGCGCCCCTCTTTTCAGGCGACGTTCGGTTTGTCCGTTCTCCTCCTGGCCGCACACCATCGCTGAAGACGACCTGCTTAGGCTCACCTCGGGGCTTGTTCTTGTCTTTGAGAACACCCACCGGCACCATCACCGAGGGTGGACGCTGATTAGCTGCCACTTGCTGCAGAGGAGACACAGTTGAGCAGTACTCCATAGGGTTGTTTGGATTCGGGGAACGAGCTGAAGGAGATGAGTCGTCCTCGGCTGTTGAAATATATTTTAATCAATCATATTTTTCATTGTGTTAAAGGAGTATTTTCAAAAATATTAAATATTGACCTGCTTTTAAAATTGGATAGCAGCTTTGACACACTCGAGCTTCAGTGTTTTCCAAATACTTGAGTTTGGCCTTGCTGTTGCAACATCTGGAGCAGAGGACCTTCCCACACGCTCTGCAATGGTGTCGTCTCTTAATCATGGTAAATTTTGACTCGCAATGCATGCAGACAGGAGCTTCTGCGTCAGGAATCCAGTATGGTGCCATTTGACCCAAGGTTTGCATTAACGAGGGACGAGGCGAGCTTGAACTGAAATTAGTGGCTGCTTTAAGGCTGCACTAAAAATTATAATTTTTTTAAATTTTTTACCCAGGACTATTTGGAGGACTTGGGAAGGCGCTTGTGCCGGGAGTATTTCCAGGTGGGCCTGTGAAGAATCCAATTAATAAAAAATTATTTAATTTTACTGATATACTTGCCTACTGTAACTAAATGTTGCTGTCCATCTTCCTCATTTAACTGCAAAGACTGGGGTCTGACAGCAGAGCCTCTTCTTTCCTCATCCCTATTAAAATTAAATAATAAATAGAGGTTTGAACGTTATTTTTAATTTAATCAAGTTCACCTTAAATTTTCAACAACTTCAGCCGCTTCTCGTTGGACAAATGCTGGGCTTTGGTCACTGCTGCCAGTTTCAGTCTCCATTTCCTCAGACGCAGGCTCGAACTCGTCTCCCGCAGCTTCAGACTCGTCTGGCAGTTCGGACTTTTCTGCCGAAACATCGGGTTCAACCTGCTCCGCCTCACAAATTGCCACTTCCATGACCTCCTCTTCATTTGTCTGCGGAGGTTCAGTCTCTTCTAGACTATCCAGCATTTCCTCCAGCTCTGCATCAGATATGTTTACGGGAACGTTGAAAGAAACAACCTGGGGTGGTGCTTCTTTTTCTTCAACGACAGGTTCTGGTTCAGTCGCCTCATCTTGGATAACTAATTCTTCCACTTGAGGTGCTTCTTGTAATTCTATCACTGGCTGGACCGACGGAATCACTATCAGCTCATCTTCTACCAAAGCCTCTGGAGCTGCAGGTACTTCAGCAAAAGTCTCCTCTGAAGAGGAAGATGACGGCGATGAAGTCGTGTCCATTTCCTCCTCTACCTCCAGTGACAAAAGATCACCTGACTCTCGTAATTCCTCTTTAGGGCCGTCATCTTTACAGACGTCAGGAAGGCCACCGACACCTCTGTGAAAGAAATATAAATAAGAATATTGTCAAAATATTTTTGTTTGAACAGTCGCAACGTAAGATGTTTCTCTATTTACAAATTGTTTATTATGCATGCGTCATAATTTATTTTGACATTTTTTTTTAACGCCAGTTCACGTGTAAAAGCAGTGTATTTATTTATTGATATACCCTTCAAAAGGCGCGATGAGGTCGGGTTTGCTATCCTGCTCCTCGACAACTCGATCCGGCAGGACCTTATTCTTGTCCTGTTCGATTAGGCACGGTTCCTCTTGGCCCTCTTCGGTGCCCTCGAAATCGTCCAGCACTTTGTCCAGGTCGACGGTAAACTTCTCCATGGCGAGCGATTTCAAGCTTTCCCTTCACTCTACCATTGCAGTCGGGTTGAAGATCCGGGACAGAAAAGTGTCCCGAGGCGCGATCGTGATCCGATAGCCCGTCTGAAATGGTAAATGCGACGAAAATGCAAAAATCAGAGAGGAATAAACGTCACTTTTTGGGACAAAGGCAAAGGGGTCCATGGAGCGCAACCCGATCGTCACTTGTTTGGTGGTCTACGGTAATCTACACTCGTGCGCGGGAAATTCCAGAAACATTGGCTTTTGAATTTGAACCAATCAAGCAATCAATTCAATCCCCAATTAAATTAATTTCTTTGATTCCCCATTCATACAAGGAAAAGGAGCTGAAAAAATTTTGATTATGGAAAATGGAAAGTCCCTTCCATATTTTTTGTCATCATAATTCTGATTTTTTTTAAATTCTAGTATTTTCTTAAAAATGATGAGTAGGAATGCAAGCTTAGATAACAATTTTTTACCTTCTATCTAGATTAAAAATGGAAAATTAAAGCGAAGCATAAGAAGATTTGCACTGTGCCGCGGTTTTTTTATGTAATCTGCCGTCTGCCTCTCCTTTCGTGACCACCCTTCTTTCTCCACCTTCTCCTCACGCCTCCCTTCTCCACCCTCCTTTCCTTTCGTCACATGTGTCTTTCACGTTTTTGTTTATTGTTGTTTTTATTGCGGTTGAAATTCTTTCTGTCTCAGATTTGACGAATTTGTGAGGGTTTTAGTGGACTGACGAGGTTTCAGTGAAGTGGGTGAAAAGTGAATTTTGTGCCAAATCCCATATTATAAAATTTCGTTTGGGATAGACGGCCTTGAAGGGACTAAAGTGACTTTGACTTTTGAAAATTCAACTCCAGGGAGAGAGACGATGCCGACAGCCAAGAGGTTTGCATAACTAAAAACCTATTTTTTTTTTTTTAATAGAAACAAGTAATTTTGAGAATTTCAGTTATTTACAATTAACTCTGTGAAATTAATTTTCCAAAATTAATTACTTTTTCCACAAAAGTTTTATTAATTTTCTTTTTAGTTATGCTCACGTTTTCCTTCTTTTACAGGGTTTTGTCAGCGTTCAGCAACTCAACATGGGCCAAAACAAGAAGGTAGGGGACCTGATTTTATTATTTTACGGATTTTTTTTTACTTTTAACACCAGGCTTGATTTTTTTAAACAAATATTCGGTGAGCCAAAAGAAGAACAAGTTTGAAAAACAAATAGGAACTTCAGCTTCTATTTCCTTGTGTAGCTTCGATCTAAAAATTATTCACAGCCACACTATGTGACACGATTATATAATTGAGGCTTAATGAAGCTCAAATATATTTCATTAATTTAAACATAAAGAAAAGGAGTATATAATTTATCACAATTATAATCTCCACCTCAATTTAAAGTTTCTGGAAGTTCTGTATCATTTAATGAATTATTGATAATCTTTACTCAACTCCTGCATTATCTGATTTAGAATTTATGATAAATATAATTTCAATAAATAGTTCAAAGTTCAAATATGGTTCAAATCTTGAATTTTCTCCTGAATGAATTCAGTTAAGCTTACTGATTCAACCAAACTGAAAACAAATTTTATTTTCCATAATTTTCAAATGTAGAACTTACTAATTTGATTTTATTATCGTTCATAAATAGAAAACTTGATTACCGCATTATTTGAGATAAGATATCACATCCTCTTAAGATAAAATTGATGATAAGATTGTGTGCTCTATTAAATAAGTTTATTGCCACTAATCAAACATTAAAAATAAAACATGCAACATGCAAGTAAAACTTATGACATAATTATTGTAAAGCAACAAACGTAAATAAGAATTTTTTGCTACCCCCTTTTTTATCAAGATTTCGAACATTTAATTCATGTCGATGGCGATCTGCTTCAACGCAGCCCTGTCCAACTTCCCTCCCTTGCTTACGGGCAGCGAATCCACAAACCGGACACCACCGTGCAAATGCTTGTAGGTTGGCAACCTGCTGGCCACTAAGTCGCACAATTCCTTCTCAGTAACGTCTCCTTTGCGGACGACAAATGCCCTGGCCAGGCAGGTGCTCTCAGGGTGTGGAACTCCGACCACCCCTACTTCAAACACCCTCTCATGCTTTTGCAATACCGACTCTATCTCCGAAGGTGAAACCTGATGATCACTTTATAAATTAAAAAATTTTCCATGTTTAAAATTTTGTAGCTTACAAAGTACATCAAGTATTTGAAAACAAAGCTGAGCCTCTCGGTGATAAAAATGTGTCCGTCCTCATCAAAAAATCCTGCATCCCCGGTGCTCAACCAGCCATCCTTGTCGATGTTAGGCCTGATCGGAGTAGGCGAGTCCTTGGAGAGGTAGCCTTTCATGAGCATGATGGATTGTATTTTTATTTCGCCCTTCTTGCCAGGGCCAAGGCTCTCGCCAGTGTTTATGTCGACAATCTGTGTATCAAAAATTTATGTAGAAAAATTTTATTGATTCTTATACTTAATTATAATTACTTTTGCCCTGACTCCTGGGGTCAGTTTACCAGTTGATACCCACTGCTCCCCTGTAATAAAAAACAAGATTGAGCCACAAGACTTGTAAAGAAAATTTAAAAAATTCTTTACCTTCGTTCTGTGCAATAATAATATTTGGAACGTCTTCTGTGTTTGCCACAAAGCTTGCCTCTGACATGCCATACATCTGAAAATTGGAAGAGAAAAAAAATCAATTTGATAAAAATTATAAAAAAGTGTTAATATGCAATTTTATTATAGAATAATATAACAGTGAAAAATATTTACAACAAATTTTTATAATTGAGAAAAATTTATGAAAATTTATATTTGAAATCCTCACTTGTTTCAACCTGACGCCTGGCAGCTTTTTGGCGAGAATTTCAATTGTTGTCGGGTCAATGATGGCTCCACCACCCATAATGGTCTTCAGGAAACTCAGGTCAAGGGTGTCCAGTTTTTCATGTCGGGCAAACCAGGTTGCTACAAAAGGGTACATGACCACGCTAGCGGGCTGATTTTGAGAGAATATTTTAATTTTAGATTAGGAATTTAATGAAGAAATCACCTTGTATTTCATTAAATTATCAAAGTAGTTTTCCCTCTCAAATTTCCCAAGGTGGATGACCTGGGAAGCATTTGCTATCGACCCCAGCGTGGCGATGTAAACGGCGTGTGCGTAGTTGCTCATGGGTGTCATCACCGCGTTTTCAAAGAAGTTGACAGTTCTGAATCATATCGATCATCAAACTCGGTCATTTAAAAAAATAATTATGTACTTTTTGATGAATAGACAAGCGATGACTGATTTGTGCGTGTGAACAACTCCCTTAGGTAAACCTGTACTGCCACTAGTGTTTACAATTAAGATACTGTCGTCTGGGTCTAGATTGACATTTTCCGGGAATGCTATTGAAATTTCAAATTGTCTAAAAATCCGACATTTTTGTGTTTTCCATTTTCAACCTGAGCCATCGTCCTGTAGTAATTTGTCCACGCTGACAGCGTCGTCAATGTCTTGTTTGCTGAAAACTATCAGCTGTGCTGGCCAGTCCAATTTTGGAATCACCTTTTTGAAGGTTGGCAAAGTTTCATCGTCGCCCAGAATGAATCTTGCTTTAGTTTCACTAATTTGCCTAACAAATTCATCTTAAACAAATATTAACGAATTAATGGCTGGTGTTTAAAATATTTTCAGTAATGATTTTTTTAGTTTTAATTTCTTACCGTTCCAAAAGAAGGAAAATGTGAACCAGTTTAATTATTGTGTCTTGTCATAAAATTAGTATCAGTAACATATCAAGTGATTTTATTTGAATATCTATCATCACAAAATTATGATTAAAATTGTAAATATCATAAAGATAAGGTTTACTGCTTTTTGCGATCATAATATATAGTCTATAGTAATATTTTTGTCAAATTTAACATCGAATATTTTTTTTTCCAAATTTAATGTACCTGTGGACTCATTTTGGAAACAACCTCTGACTGTTCCACCGAGTCGCCAGACAGCAAGTTGCACCAGATAAAGCTGGGCTGTTTCAAAGGTCCCGAAATGCAATTTGTCGCCCTTGGTGAAACCGAGACGGGTCAGAGCGCTGGCTATTTTCCTGGACTGCGGCTCGATGTCGCAAAATTTCACTTCAACTCCTGTGCTCGCGTCAATCTGCAAAGAATTTAATTGATAAAATTCTGAATATGCAGTAATAAAAAACAATTAATTAAATTAATAAATTAATTAAACACTGAAATGAGGACTTTTTGAAAAATTATTTTAGAATTTTCTATGAAGAACTCACCACCCATGGCTTGGTGGATTTTTCCATCCCCGCCGCACACAGCCTCTTGTAAACATAGTCAAAAATAAGCTCATTCGGCACGTCTGAGACTTTTGCTTTGTATGATGATTCAAAGATATACTCCACTGAAAATAATTGAATATTTATTCATTACAATACTATTAATAAAAAAAACTATAAAAAGATTTAAACTTACTTTCGAGCGCCGTTCTGTCCTTAGCCTATGAGAATCGAGCAGCAAGAGGCGTGTTAATGACTCTCCTTTCGAGAAGATTTCTTGTTTTTACTACTTTAAGATAAGATCAAAAAAAGTTACATAATTTTTATCAATCGGGTTTTTCTCGACCTTTGCAATTTTCGTGCGTTGACGTTCGTTAACGATTTCCTGGTAAAATGTATAATCAGCATACAATTTCAAGTGTCTTTTCTAGCTGTATATTGTGAACCTGGGTTTTTTTAATCAAGAGAGAAACTACAATCGCTTCAAGCTATTTTACAAGCATTGTGACATCTTGATACTGATTAACGGTTCTAAACTTTGTAAACGGGTTTTTAATTATTATTTTTTTTTTTTGAAAAAAAAAAACGAAATATCTTGCCACGATTAATTTGATTAATTTATTAAATTGATTCAATTGGCTGTTGCATATTATAAAGCAAGATAGGTTAAAAGAAAATTAATTTTGATAACTAAAGGCACACCTTTTTGTTAATTTTTTAATTCTTCAATAACAAAGTCTAGAAATGAGAGAGGAAAATACAAAGTGTGAAGATAAATAATATGGAGACCATTTCTCTTATTATAATTAGCGTAAGTCCGCCAAGAAAAAATTAAAAGAAAATTTTTTCTCTGCAGTTAGAAAAACTGTCATAGTCTTCATTAATTTATTTAAAGCCCCGTAAACTTACCCGCCAGATACGTAACTTTTTACAATCTGACCCCAGTCTAGATAAACTGACAAAAAATTAATTTTGAAGAAAAATTTAAATGTTTTTAGATTTCAGTGCAAAACAGCATATCCGTAATCCTTATTTATTCAAATCATTTACCCGATTGAATTTTTACCTTCTTCTTCTCATTTGTACAGCAACTTTACAAAAGCAGTTTAGTATTTTATCAAGAGTGTAATTATGTAGTTATCGGACTTCCTGCTTCGTGACATTTTAAACTGTTAAAAACAAAAATTCAAAATTTCTACTTGTTGTGGCAAAGTCACTGCTCAAGTGCTGACGATGGAACTTGTGAGAAGTTTTACTTGGATATTTATTAGGAAAAATGGCTCATCGTTTGTGTGCCTGGGCATTATTATGCTGGTATACTGTCTTATTTACTCTTATACCAAAGTTGGAAACTCGTCGCCGAAAAAAATACCGAAATACGGAATGAGGAAAAGAATTCCTGACGCTTTGATAATCGGCGTCAAAAAAGGAGGAACGTTTGCAATGGCTGAATTTCTCAAGTATCACCCAGAAGTAAAACTTTCGGGTTATGAACGCCACTTTTTTGATAACGACATCAATTACGCGAAAGGACTTCATTATTATATGCAAGAAATTGTATGTTATGGATCTAACAAAATTGATTATATTAATTTTTATCTAGTGAAAAAATGCCCCTATCTGGGCCTGAACATCTGGTCATTGAAAGAACTGCAACTTACTTCAACAAATTCACAGCTGCCAAGAGGGTTCATGATACAAATCCGAATATGAAGTTGATTTTACTCGTTAAAGATCCAATTGAACGACTTGTCTCCGACTTCTTAGAAACGCAGTGAGTGCCCAAAATTAATATTTTTCTGAAAAAATCACGTGTAAAAATTAGGAAACACTTGCGTCATGATTGGAGTGCGTTCAATAGTTTGGTGGTAAAAAACCATAGCAGTGGCCGGATTGAAGTTCACGATAATTTTTGGATGGGAGTGGACATTGGAAAGTATGATATACATTATCAAAACTGGGCACAGTACTTTGGGCCAAGTCAATTGCTTGTAGTGTCAAGTGAGAAATTCGTGGAGAAGCCTTGGGAGGAATTGGAACGCGTGCAGAATTTTTTGGGAATCGCGGTTCAAATAACAAAGAGTAATTTTACATCAAGCACTGGAAAATTTTGGAGTATTTTTTGTGATAAGACTGGAAGGTCAAAGTGCTTGCATGAAGACAAAGGTAGAGCACACCCTGAGATCAATGAAACGGTCAGAATAGCTCTGAAGGACTTTTATCGGCCCAGAGTTGCAGCGTTTGAAAGAATGGTTGGAATGAAATTTGGTTGGATGGAAGATTGATGATTTGATGAAACCAAAACTAAATAATGAAAATATGGTTGCTACGTAAAAAATAAAAATTAAATTAGTGTCAAATTTTTCATATATCAACTTCAAAACTCTTTTATTTTATTGTGTTGCCCAATATACAATAATTATTTGTTGATTGCATCTATATGTGATGAGAAAGAATAATAATTAAATGATGTGGAAATGCCGTAAATGCGTAGATAATGTTCATCTGAATTCACCTCCGGTTTTGCAATTCACTGATAAAGCACACAAGGTATGTTTGTGCATGTGACTACCAGGTTTCTTCGTCACGGTTTTAATTTTAAGAAGGAAAAAAATGTAACATAAATTATATTTCAGCATAAACTTCATAATTTTTTTTAATATGAGAAAAATTAACCCCAGCATAATTAAACAGGTTACGTGATTTTTCTAATTGCAAAAGTAATCAATACTATATTTATTTTTCATTCAACTCTTCACATATCATATAATTAATAGTTAAAATGGAAAAACTGCGATTTCCTTTCTTTGAGTCACTTTTTAAGTTTTTCTAGAAGCTACTTAAAATCAGCATAATATTATTACTTTTAGCTAAAGATTGCTTTGATTGCGCTGTTTTGACGTGTATTATTATTTACTTTATTTTCAGAAAGATAAGGGGAGTTTATATCGATGAGAAAATGTTGAAACATTCTAGAAATTCAAATAACGATTAAATGAACTTATTGGCATTATTTGACCGATAAGATTTAATTAATGCAAGAAGATATTGAAAGTAAGGTGTTGCTAGCTCGCGTTTCATATTGTTAACATTTGCCGCAACGAGAAGAATTTAAACTGGTTGATTATTTTTTAAATTTTTGTTTTTAAGTTGGAAAAAAGTAATTTTATTGCAAGATTTAATGAAGAAAAAAATTTTATAAACAGAAAGCTTTTGAAATTCAAAATATATATTTATAGAAATATTTCCAGTACATAAAATGAGGATTTACATATGCATAAAAACAATTGTATTTTTTTACATAAGAAAAAAGTTTAGAAACTGTATTCCTGTAGAGCGATTTTCCGCAAAGTGCTCCTGTCCATCTTCCCTCCGAGGCCGATGGGCAGAGCGTCTACAAATTTAACCCCCCTGTGCAGGTGTTTGAAAAACGGTGCCCTGTCGGCGACGTGCTTGACCAGTTTGTCCTCGGTGCATTCGCTGTCAGGTCTCTTGACGACGTATGCAACTGCCAGGGACTCAACCTCAGGGTCTGGCAGGGCGACGACGCCCACCTGCAGAACGTCAGGGTGCTCAAGAAGGAGGGACTCGACTTCGCTCGGAGACACAAAGTGACACATGTGCTTGTAGACGAAGGTCAGTCTCTCCACCACGTAAAGATGCGCATCGTCGTCGTAAAAACCCAAGTCACCAGTGCACATCCATCCGTCGTCGGTGAAACTAACTCTATTATACTATTTGAGAAAATCTTAGTCATTCTGGGACTTTGTAAATAATTTTTTATACCGGTTTGCCTGGTGCCACCAGATAGCCTGCCATTAAAGATAGTGTTTTAATTAAAATTTCACCTCTCTGATAAGGTCCAACTTCACTTCGCGTTTCAAGATCCAGCACCTTTTTCAACAATGAACGATTAAAAAAAAAATTTATTAAGCTTTATTTGAAGTAATTACTTTGCACTGAACGTTTTGGAGGAGAGGTCCAGATGACGTGTAAACTTTGCCTATTTCATGTAAAACAGATAAGCTGGTTTTTATAATCTTGTTGAATTAATTGGTTTATACCCTCATTGACGCATCGTTTTATCTTTTCTGTTTGTGGCCCACTCTGAGGCATAGTGATGCAAAACGCCTCGGACATGCCGTAAATAGGTTTGATCTGAGTATTGGGGAGAGCTTCGGACAGGACGTCCGAGCAGTGAGTGTCCAAAACCCAGCCACCAACTAATATTGTGCGCACAAAATCCAGCTGATTTATCAGCTCCAATTCTTTTGTTTGTTTTGAAAGCCAAGCCGCGATGTAGGGATACAAAATTATGCATTCGGGCTGAAATTCAGATCGTAATTTAAAAAAGCAATAGCAGTAACTTTAAAACCCATACCTTGTATTTCAGCATGTTTTCAATGAGGTGCTCCTTTTGAAAACTGGTGAAGTGGAAAGTTGTCACTCCGTGGCAAAGGTTGTACAGCAAAGCGCTATTTGAGATGACACCATAGTTTGTCATGAACTCCATCATAGACTCTTTTATTTGAAGAACTCTTAAAATTAAAATGATTAAAATTAAGACATATTATAAAACTTATATATTTGTGGCTAAAAGGGTATTATGAGCTAATCAAAAAAAAAAAAAATGTGTTTCTCATCTCATACTTGTCGATTCCAAACATTCCAGCGAGCACCGATTTTTGAGTGTGCACCACCCCTTTGGGCTCCCCTGTTGAGCCGCTCGTGTTGATCACAATGGCGACGTCATTTTCGGTGTCGATTTCAACGTCCCGAGGGAAAGCTGCAGAAAAAACTGTTGAAATATTTACAATTAAATTTAAATTTAATACCAGAGCCGTCGTCTTTGAGTAATTCACTGAAGTGAACAGTGCCTGCAAGTTTTTCGGCGCCCACGCTGATTAATTTTACAGGGTGGTCAATCTTTTTCAGGGTCTGCCTTATCTTTTCAATCGTTTCGCTGTCAACTATGGCGAATTTGGCCTCGACTTGTTTCAACTGCTTGACGTAATTATCTGAAAATAAAACAAAATGGGTAAAAAATATTTTATTTTTGATACGAATTTAATTTGGAATCGTCTATGATAGTTTAATTTCAGCATAATTAGAATTTAAAACTAATAAATATTTTAATGGAAAAGTTTATCAAATTTTTTTTTATTATCCTACCTGGATTGTCTGAAGGGTGGCAACCTCGGACTGCCGCGCCAAGCAAAAACAGTCCAACTTGAATTTGGTAAAACTGGGCTAATTCGTAAGTGACGAAATATACAAAGTCGTCGTGCTTCAGCCCCATTCTTGAAAAAGCACTTGCAATTTTGTACGAATTTAACTCGACCTCGGACAATTTGATGCTTCGCCCGGAAGGAATGTCAACCTTTTTTAAAAATATTGTTTGAATTGTTCTGACACTTATTCAAAAATTTGTATTACGATCCATTCTTTGTCCTGCGGCCATTTCTTTAGCCCCTCTCTCAATCTCTCAAAAACGTGGTCCATGATGGGCACATCAGGCACCGGGAGCTCCCCTTGAGGAGAATGTATTAAGAAAGCGGTCCGTTCATCTATGCAAATAATAATTATATTATTATATTTAAAACAATATATTGTTTTAAACAGATTGCTCTGTAAAGCTATATAAATAAAATCACCTCCTGGCACTGGCATGGTGTGACTTTGATTTGGTTTTATTTGAAAGTAGTCTATTATTCGTTGTTTCCCCCGTATTTTATAGATCCTGCATGTTTATTAGTCATGCCGTCAAGAGAATCAGAAAAATCTTATCTACACTGCTAATCTTAATTCTTTTTTAAATTTGTAACAAAATCTTGAACGAAACGTGTTTGCTTATTGCGTTGTAAGAAAATCTTCTCATAAACAGGCATAGCTTTAATTTGATGACCAATTTTTTTCGAAATTTAAAAGAAAAATCAAATCAATTAAATCAATCAAGCCATCATCACGCAAGGCAGTTCTGAATAATTATCTTTAAAGAGCTTCATCAAAAAATGTATGTTGGTTAAAAGATGTATGGAACAAATTAGTTGATGGAAATGTTCTATTATTAGTTTTAACATGCTTATCCAACCACCAGAAATATATTTTGGTTTTTCATTCAGGTTAGTTAATATACAAAATTTATTTTTTAAATTGTTATTTGATGCAGTATAAACTGATTATCTGTTTTGAATTAAAACAAAAATTTAACTTATCCTTGAAAGTATTTATGTTCAAAGACTAATTTCCAAGCAATTGAATTTATTTTTCACTGGCATCGTGGCATTATTTTGAAATTTTACTCTATCAAATTGTTTCCTCCTTGTTTAATATAGTACTGTGGGATTCCCGTATCAGCTTAGATTTTTTCTTCTGTCATAGTGTGACGTCCACCTCCTTTTACTTTGCTCCTACTTGACTGAATTAATTCTCTGCGCAAAACCCAGTGAGTGGTTGTCGATAAGCTCCTTAAAGATTTGGAATTTCACTTGGTTTTTCCTGAAAGTTATCTGCTAGAATACGTGCAAAACAACCCAATGCGATTGGTATAGTGGTGCTCTCATGGTTGATAATACAAAACAATCCCAAAATAAATAAAAATTAAAAATATTTTCTATTTTATATTTTGATTGCAAGAAATAAAAAGTTTCTATTTTGCAATCGGCTCTTTGTAAATTAAAAAACCGATAAAATCGTTAATTATTAGAATTTCATTTTTTACCAATTTTTTTTCTATTTCTTTAACAAAATATTCTTACAATTAGTTTAGCCTTCGCGATTACAATAAAAATTCGTTTTGGAAAAAAATAGGTTTTCTATAGAGGTTCTTGTGGTTGTTGTTAAAAAAATTGATCTTTTCATCAATGCTGTTTTGGCGCCAGAAGGTAAAAGAAATGCAATGAAAGGATACACTTTAATATCAAGTATTTGTAGAATAATCAGAAACTAACATGCAGCTAACATGCTTAATTGCTTATGCTTCGAGATTGTGTTTAAACTGCTCTCTGTCTTCGCAAAATGATCGCAAATGAGCTGAATAATCGTTACATAACTACTTTATCAAGAGACTCAAATTTTCTATTAATCAAATACGTAAACCGTGGAAGTCCACCTCCTTAAACTCTGCTACTACTTGACATGTTTATCAAAAAGCGATAGATCAAGGATTTTTTGTATGCGTCAAAAGGAGCCAGGTGATTATGAAATAGTGTGAATAACTGACATTATTGTTGAAGAATGAATTATTCATGCAAAAAAATAAAATGTTTTTATAAAACATGCGCATTTGATAAGAAAATTCCGGGAATCATTTTCTACTACAGCTAAAACTTGCTAAAATTTCCAAATTGAGCTATTGCGCTATCAATATCCTCACTTCATATTTTTGCAGCCATATATTATTCTGCTTCTTAAATTGTCTTTTTCGGTCTGTTTATAGAACAGTAATGTTATGAAAATTGCATTAAAAATTTAATATTATATGGTATCTATTATGATAGTTTCGTCTTGCCAAATCATTTGACAGCCACAAATGCTCAGCGTATTTGCATGGCCGCGTACAATTTTTTTTTTTAAATTTACATCATGAATAATAGATGTTTTTGTATGAAAAATATTGATATTGATTTTAGATAAGAAAGTAACTTACTATTTATACACAAAAGAATTTATTTCAAAAATTAAATACATGAACATTGCTTTATAATTTTTTTTTTCAATGAATCTGTTCCATTGCCATCCTTTTGAGAGCCATTCTGTCCACTTTTCCTCCTAGACCGATGGGGAGAGCGTCCATAAATCTCACGCCCTTGTGGAGTTGTTTGAAAAAGGGGGCCTTATCAGCCACAAACTTGACCAGTTCGGTCTCAGTACACTTGCTTCCGGGTCTTTTGACAACAAAGCCAAGAGCCATGGACTCGACCTGCGGGTCTGGTAACGCGATTACGCCCGCCTCGACAACGTCAGGGTGCTCAAGAAGAAGGGACTCAACTTCACTTGGAGATACAAAGTGAATCAAGTGCTTGTATACCATGGAAAGTCTCTCCATTATGTAGATACAGCCCTTGTTATCAACGAAAGCCATGTCTCCAGTGCACAACCAGTTGTCTTTCGTGAAACTGATTCGATTGTGCTTTCGTTTGAAATTTATTTAATATTATATTTTGCATGTTAAATTGGAGAGAAGAAGCTCACCTCTTTTCCAAGCACACTCAGGTAACCAGCCATAGCCGAAGGAGTTTTCAATAAAAGTTCGCCTCGTACACCTGGGGATACTTCCTCGTGAGTTTTAAAATCCACAATCTAGTAAAAATAAAAATGTAATGTCTTTTCTAAAATCAAAATTATGATGAAATTTTCCAACCTTTACTTGAACGTTTGGCAACGGTCTTCCTGTGGCAATGTACTCTTTCCCTATTTAAAACGTAAAAGTTATGTTTAATTTTAATAAAATATCGACGTAAATCACCCCCATTGACAATACGATTGATTTTTTCTTGTATTCCGTCTCTCATGTCAGTTATGGCCACTGCAAAAGCTTCGGACATTCCGTAAATTGGTGCGATGTGGGTGTTTGGCAGGGATTCGCACAAAGTGTCGGCCGTAGGGATGTCTATCACCCACCCACCTACTAGCATTACGCGCAAAAAGTCCAGCTGCCTGATTAAGTTCAGTTCTTCCTTTTGTTTCGCAAGCCACGCAGCAATGTGTGGGTACATTATGATTCCTCTTGGCTAAGAAATTTGTGTTGAAAAATATAATTCATTCAAATACATCAAATTCATTATTTATTAAACGTATTTTGCGTAAAATAATTCGAGCGCCATTTATAATGATTTTTTTATTACCTTGTACTTAAGCAGATTTTCAATTAAATTCTCCTTCACAAACTTGGTGAAGTGGTAGGTCGTCACACCATGACATAGGTTGTGTAGGAGCATTCCGTTTGAAATGACTCCATAGTTTGTGTTAAACTCCATCATGGAGTATTCGATTCCCATGCGGCTAAATAGGTGGAAAAATCCATAAAAATTAATAAAACCGATTATTTGAAATTTATTTACTTTCTAAGGTTTAGAACTCCTGCGAGGATGCTTTTATGAGTGTGAACCACTCCTTTCGGATCGCCAGTGGAGCCGCTTGTGTTGATCACAACGGCGACATCTCTCTCGGCGTTGATTTTGACGTTGTTTGGAAACGCTTTTAAAATTAAATTTTAGTTTTAAATTGTATATTCTCCTTTAATTAACTCACCAGAGCCATCGTCTTTCAGAAGCTGGCAAAAATGAACCGTTTCCGGAATCTGCTCTGCGCCCACACTGATCAGTTGAACAGGGAAATCGATGCTCTTCAGAGCCTCCCGAACATTTTCGATCGATTCGTTGTCCACGATTATAAACTTTGCTTTGACTTCATTAATTTGCTTGATGAAGTTTTCTAAAAAAAATTATCATATTTTTAAACCACTTCACGCAAATTTTGATAAATTTCCTACCGATTTTATCTGTGGGGTGGCATCCTCTGAGTGGGACACCCAGCAAGTACAGTGCAATCTGGATTTGGAAAAACTGGGCCAACTCGTATGTCACGAAATAGACGAACTCGCCGTGTTTGATGCCCAATCTTGTGAGGGCACTAGCAATTTTGTACGCATTAGGCTCAACTTCGGAAAGTTTGATGCTCCGTCCCGATGGAATATCCACCTAAAAATCAAAATTAAACTCTGTCCTTTGCAACTATTCTATACTCACAATCCATTCTTTATCCTCAGGCCACGTTTTTAAGCCCTCCCGTAAACGCGGGATAATGTAGTCCATGAGCGGAACATTTGGTATCAGGATATTTTCTGAAGCGGTTTCATTCACTTCTGAAAATTTTTAATTTTTTTATTTATGTAGCTTTATTGGTGAATGAAAGATTGACTGGCCGAAAAGAATAAATAATAATAATATTTTGAGAATATTCTTACCAAAATATTATTTTTCAATTTTCTCAATTTAAACCATTAAAAATTATAACAGAATTAAGAGACTCCCTTAGTAAGTGGAAAAAATATGCTCACCTGCTGGCATAGTGCTACTGTTGCAATCAGCCGTTTCAGCGGTAAAATTGAGAAAGGCGCAGTCCTATTTATACTTCGTAAAAAAATTTATCTCCAATGGATTAACCCATGGAGAAAGATAAAACCAAATTTAAGTGTATCACACCCCACTACGGGCGTGTAAGAGATCGTAAGATAAAAGTGAATGAATGATTGCTATACAAGCTATTATTAAAAACACGCTGTATAGATAACAGACACCCATCATGCCACGAACAAATTTTTTTTCATTGACGTGACCTGTAACTCTGTTCAAAAATTGTCACCCTTTTCTCATTTTTTAGAGAAAAATAACGTGAAGTTTTTTACATAAAAATTACACGATTGTAAAAGTATTTTGGTTTTAAATAGCTAATAACAAAAAAATCTGGTGCCCTGTTATTTTTTTTTCTTTTACAATATGGATGTGAAAAAATATGCTTTTCAAATATGTAAATTCATGCTATCACCTGAACTTTTATAATTGCGTCTGCTTATGCCTCTAATTTTGCGCTAGAGATACTTCTTCTCATCTCCTTACCAATTTTTTATCTTGCTATATAGTGCTGGAAAATTCGAGATTTTAAATTCTTATCATGTTCCAAAGGTATAATATGTAAAAGACTCGTAAAAAAATTAGCGTCAATGTTTGTGTTACTGTGCTTCCCCTTGTATGACATAATATTTTTTTTTTTATCTTTCAAGAGCGAAAAGCAATAATTAAATGCTAAAATATTTAATTCAGTACTTATTAAAAACTATAGCTATTTCTCCAAATTTAAAATTAGCCATAAATATAATCAAAATCCTCTCGACACCACCACAGCCGGAACTAACACATTTTACAACAACCCGCTCCACTTCGATGCGCAGCAGGTTGCATAACGTTCTTGTAAACTTTCACTTTACGCATTGCAAATAGCAAAAATTCAGTTTCGGTGTATATTTATTTATTTTTCCTTAGAAGTGATAAAGTTGCAAGTAAAATTCATGAATCAACCAAAAAAATCATCTGCCTCTCAGTGACTAAATTAAAGTCAACTTTTTCCTGGCCTCTTCACGGATATAATTTTCATATTGTAAATTTATTTAAAAATACAACAAAAGATTAATAAAATGATTTGAAACTTACATAACTAAAGTACTCGCTCCTCTGAACGTTTTGCAAAATGTTCAAAAACATTTTTGGGAAAATCTATGAGTTTAGTATTAGACAAGATCTCTTGGGTTTTATAAATAAAAAAAAATGCCAATACTATTTTTGATAAGAAAAGTAGAAGCTTATCTAGTTGTGAGTTGCAATTTAATTTATGCATTGCGATATTGTGGAATTTTTGCATGACTGATCCCGTAGTTGCCAAAGCTAACACCCAGTCCACGCACCCACCAACGCCGCGAGTGCAGTTTCAGGAGCCAAGCAAAATGAGCACCGAATGAGCACCGAGAGAGCTATTTTGATCTGAATGCACGCAGATGGCGTTGACCTCTGCTTAGGCGTTGCCTCCTCCGCGGCCAAAAAAGGCGCTCCTGGTCATTCTCTCCGCTGGCTGCCTCCAACAGGTGAGACTTTTCGCTCCCCACCTAGCCCCCCTGACACCCTTCTAATCGAAAATTCACTTCGATTCCCGCGCAAAGAGGCCAAATTCGCGATTAATTTATTTTCCGTCCGCCAACGTTCCCGTCCAAAGCGCCGACTCGGATCTAAAATTTCTCGCAGGCGCTTGGACTCCAAAAGCTATTTTTTTCTGGCGATGACCTCAATACGCGTCTCAGTCGCAGCGGGGCTAGACGAGAGTCGCCACCCACCCCTATCGATCTCCTTCTCAGACGCAATTTAATCATACAATTAGGGCGTATGTATGAAATTATTTTATTTGCAGGCAAAAATCCGCAGTTTTTTTTTTACAATATTTAAAAAAAAAATTAAAATCACAACAATTTCTAATTTTTGTAACAATTTATTAGATTAGTCATCGCCTGCAAAACAATATTTTTCCTCTTCGATGACTACGTTGTACATATTTATTATCAGTAAACATTTTCTTTGTGCGTGACAAAGATAAGATCGAAAAGTCACCAATTTTAAATAAAATCCTGTTTCCACTATTTTTGTTATTATTGGATTTTCCTTGTTATTTTTTCTCCTCAAGTAATATAAAAACTCCAGTAAAATTATTATTTAAAAAAAAAACGATACTCTGCAGCAGTTTCCGCAGTAAATCGTGGGCCAAAGTGACTTCCTGCGATAAAAATGTCGCACAGCGTGACTGTCACTCGCACGACCACCACAACCACCACCTCGGCCATCCTCATCAACACTGGCTACTTCAAGGCAGTGCCTGGCCTTCTTAAACTTGGACAAGTGGTCAGTAAAGCTAATTTCTACAAATTAAATATTTTTTCCAAATATTTGAAGAAATTAAAAATTTTATAAAAAAATTACAATTTTTAATTTTTTTTTATTATTCGTGTTAGATTTTGGGGACGATCATTATCGGCTTGGTGGCCACAACCCTTTCTCGCTACAACAATTACTATTACTCGGGCAGCGAGGAGCTCTTCTTCTTTGTGACGGCGTGCGCCTGTTTGATAGCAACGGGCTGCCTCCTAATATCATGCCTGCTCTCCATTTCCACGGCCAGCATCATCAGCAAAACCATTTTTGTGAGAATATCCTCTTTTAGTTTAATTTATTCAACGCTTTTCCTTTCCTGGCTTTAAATTTTTTTAAATAAAAAAAAAACCAAGGGAAGTGTATGACTAAATTATAGTTGGGGGGACCTGCTTTTTTATTCGAACAAACGGCAGACGGCAACTCTCTCTCCAAACAAAAATACGTCAGCACGTCACGTGACTTTCTGAATGCCTGATGCGTCACCTTTAAAAAATAAGATCGTGAATCCCTTAAAAAAATTAAAAGAACGTAAACAAAGAAACTGAAAATGATAAAATATGAAAATTTTGAATTTGCTCGAAAAGTATTGTTTTGTTTAAAATTTAAATTGCATAAAAAAGTCTTAATATTTTTTATATCTAATATTTTTAATTGAATCAATATGCATATCCGTCAATAAATATTTCCAGGTAATTAAAAATTTTACTCTTAATTTGCTTTGGCGCCACACAGGAACTGGTGTACCATGGAGTGGCGTTCGTGCTCTACCTGATCGCTTCGGCTCTCGCTATGGTTCATTCAACAGGGTCGAACAAACGCCACGACAGTTTGTACCTGACGGCCGCTGTAAGACCAAATTTCCACTCATCGATCCCTTGTAAAAGTGCGGTCCTGGTGGAAAACGACTCTAAAAAAAAAATCAAATTCTATCGCTGCTTCCTCGCTTGCTTTGTGGCTCGTTGCGCGCACTGACTGACTGCCAGGGTGTAAAATGACTGTTGCAGCTGCTGATGCTGCTGGTCCCCCTTACCTTGATGTACCTGATCGCGGCCACCCTGGTGCTGGTCACTGTAGTCGCGCGCAACTACGGCCACAAAATTTACGAGGATGAGTTTTCCACCAGAATTCACGCCGCCGTGAGATTTTATTTATTCTTTAAACAGTTTTAATTATTTAAATTTGCTTCACTACTTGATAAATTTTACTCTGATTTAATTTAAAAAAGTTCCGATTCATATTTTAAAGGAATACAAACAATTTTTTTTTTTAAATTTAAATCCAGTTATTATTTGAATTAATTAAAAACAATTTTCAGATACTCGGCTTGTTCAACACAATTCTCTATTTGGCAAGCACCATCCTGGCTTTCAAATCATACAGGGGAGGTTAAGCTGCTAATTGATGCAGATAAACGCAACATCAGCATACTCTCTCTTGAAAATATAATTTGGACTATTAAAATTTAAAACGCTAGCTAATTAAAATATAGCAAAAATATGCACTAAGAGATCTGCCAAGATCTGCTTTAAATGTGGAGGCCTTTATTAGACATAAAAAGCAAATTGATGTGTTCATTTTTTGTGACTAAAAATCGCACAATCTCTCCATTCTCTCTTAATCTTAAAAATACTATTTTCAAAATCGATATATAAATTTTCTGAAACCTAATGATTATTTACAAGCATTTGTTGCAAAAAATTACAAGCTGAAGCTTATTTTTGGCACCAAATAATTTTTTAAAATGTTAATAAAACTATGTACTTAAAATGTCAAATGTTAGTAAATATCTAATAAATAATTCAAATATATAATTGTGCGCATATTTTTTTTAAATAATTCCTGTCTTGCTCTTGATATTATATTGTTCGGGTTTTATCGAATAATCTGGAAAACTTTAAAGTGGTATTTTCATGTTTTAAATAATTTTTCCCATTTTATATAATATATATAATAATATAAAAATATAAAATATGAACAAAAGCGGCGATGATTTTAAATGTCAATAAAATATTGAAAATATTGAACTCGGAAAAACTGCTCCCCTGCAGTTCTCTTTTTTTCGTGTTTCCTCTCCTTGCGTGCTGCCACCTAGGTAGAACCGTCTGTCACCGGTTTATAAACCGGTTCTCGTCCTTCCTACGTTAAAAGCATTACGTTTTCACCGGTAAAAACAACCGGTATCACTCACCGCGCAAACAAACCGAAACATCTAAAGGGCGCTTGTTGTGCTGTTCGCTATTTCACCGAATTTCGGCAATTCGGCCGACGAAACAACCGATTCCGCGTGTTGAAAGCTCCAATTCGGCCAGCGGTGCCTCGTCGCAGTTTCTGCCGACGGCGTGGAGGGACTTGAGGGGCAGGTCGAAGGGTGCAGGACGGCTGGAGGAGAAGTGGCGTATCGATCCGGGGGGACGATGGCCGCCGGCTACCGAAGGGCCAACTATTACGAACTGTGCCGCCTGTGCACGTCCAGCGAGGGCACCAAGGTGCACATCTTCAGGGAGGAGGGTCAGCGGAAGCAGCTGCTGACCAAAATCCAGATTTGTCTACCTTTGCAGGTCAGTAGGACTTTGAAATTCAAAGTTAGGGCGACACACCCCCTCCCCGCTCATCCCGTACTACAGAAGAGACTTCCCGCGGGGAAGTTCATTCAGGATTTTTTTTCAATAGTACATTTTTTTAAAGAGATTATTTAGATAACATTCTTCTTCCTATTGAGAATTTTTGTACGTGTCCTTGAACTTTCAAATTTTGTTTTCTTATAATTTGACTTGTGTATTATTTAGAAATTTCCAATTTTAGATCTTGGAAGGAGATTCGTTGCCCAACATTGTATGCGCAGACTGCGTTGAGAGGCTGGAAAGTTTCTACGACTTCCGAGAAGCCTGCATTAATGCCGAGGCAATGCTCGAGAGCTATTATTCATCACTGAAATTCAACGAGGAATTCAGAAAAACTGGAAAGGTAAACTTACTTATTATCCAATAATTAAATATATAAAATTCTGCTGATTGTGAGATATCTTTAATTAACAATTAGTGAGCTCTTTTTTTGTTCTTATATTTTTTTAATTCAAAATATCCTTCAATTTAGTGCTATGTGAAAGAGGCACCGCCTAAGAAGAAGTCAAAACATAGTAATAAGCTTCCACTGGAACCTCTGGTCAAGCCCGACATCAACATCACGAGAATCGAGACAGTGGCCCCGCAGGTAGTCCAACAAACCTCCGCAGCAGTGGAAGATCCAATTCCTCGCATTGGAAGCATCCAACATGTTGCCGAGGTTCAAATTCACCCTGTAGAGCTAGACCATGGAGATGTGCAGCAGTTTGAATTTGTGGTTGAAGATGATGAGAGACCCTCGGAAGAGGTTTGTCAAAATGTTAATTTGGGATTTTATTTAACATTTTATAAATTAGGACTACAAGAAAGTTGAGGAGGAGGAGATTGAGGAGAACGAAACGCTATTGATGGAATTTGACTTCATCAAGGACAAGGACGAATCTGTGAAATCTGAGGACGTGGAGAGGTAAGAGCGGGAAAACTTAAATTTATAAAATTACTTCAAAAAATATAAAGAACCTAGAAACTCTAATTTTCAATTTGCAAGGAAATGCTGTCCTTTTTTTTTTGTTTTTTTTTTTTATATTTTTCCACTGTAAAAAAAAATTCTCAATAAATTATAATAAACTTAATTATTATTTTTCTTATTTAGAGGATCTATAGACCAAATTGGAGAATTCTTGCGGATCAAACCGGTGTCAGTTACACCAGTTACCAATGCAAGTGCTCAAAGTGAGGACGATGAAACATTGGGCACATTGAACTGCAGTCGATGCCACAAAACCTTCTACACTAATCAGCAGCTCAACGAGCACGAGTGTGGTGGCGTCCAAGTCACCATTGTTCCAGTCAAAGCCAATTCTTCAGCTTCGAAATTGTCGACATCTGACGAAGCGTGCTATTTGTGTGAAGTCTGCAGTAGGCCCTTCAAGTAGGTGTCCAGAATTGATTTTATTTTTACTTTTATTTCTGTGATTTTATTTCAGACGGAAAGAGCATCTTCTCCAGCATAGCAAATTGCACACGGGAGAACGACCATATCCATGCACAGTTTGCAACAAAACATTTGCAAGAAAGGAGCACTTGATACGTCACACCACTTGTCACACTGGAGAAAAGATGCACGAGTGTGACGTTTGCACCAAGTCATTTTCAAGACGAGACAACCTGCTGAAACACAGAAAGACCCACGGTGCTACTGGGCCCTATGTATGTGATACATGTGGCAAAACATTCACCATGAAGCACTATTACTCTCTGCATGTCTCAACTCACACCAACGAAGCTCCCGATAGACCCTTCAGGTATTAAATACTTGACGAAAAAAACAAATTACTGAATCATCATGAAACTCTTGATTTAAAAAATATTGAAATCCATAAATGGAGGCTACTTTTTTATACGGAAAAAGATATTATGTATAATTCAGATGAAAAGATAGAAAACATTTTGTTTAAAATATTTTAGTTTTAAATATTTCTTCAAATTAAAACTAATTGAATTTAACTTTTATTGAAAACCACAATAGTTTTATTACAATGATTTTTTTAATTCCAATATTTGTAAAGAGATTGAAACATTTAAACGAGAGAAGTGTGTGTTTGATTTTGGCCCTCTTTGTTTTAATTTGAAACGTCAAAATATTTGATCGTTTTCTGCGCTTCAGGTGCATGAAGTGTGGCAAGAGATTTGCCCTGAGACAGTACCTCATGAACCATCTGGCTCGTCACAGAGAGATGGAAGGAAATGCTGACGCTCCTCAGAATAAGTCTGAAGATGACATGCAGAACACTGTGGAGCTGCCAAGTGCAGACGAAACTGTTGAAAGTCTTGCTGAGCAGAGGAACAATTATGTACAGATTGTGCAGCTCACTGCAACCTCAGATGACCTGGAGGCGGTCGCGACTGGCCAAGATCAGGACGGCAACACATATGTACAAATTGTGGCGTTGAAGGAGGAACAATCGTAGATACAATAGTGAAATGTGCACTGTTTTTTCTATACATTACCTAACTGCATCAAAAACTTGTAGTTTTAGTACGATCGATTGTGCTGATCAATAAATTTTGATCGTCCGTGATCAATGGAGAATACCATTTGATTTTTAAAATTTCATCTCTTCATGAAAAGAAAAATTGAAATTACTTAACTCAAATTTATTAGTTTATAGCCACAAAACTGATTTGTTGCTTTTGAAATGCATAAGTGGGAAAATTATCACACAATAATCCATTTTTGTACTTTCGGGGGAAATGCCAGATTTTTTGATGATCAATTTGGTGGAAAAATGGCCAAAAGCTGCCGGAGCGATTCCTCATTTATGGTCAAAAGCGGCTCTGCAGGCTGAATGATGACCATAGGTTGGGGTGGCGGATCAGGCTGTAGAGGCTCCACTTCTGGTTCTTTGGGGGCAGTGGCAGTTGCAGCTGCGTTCCGAGACATCAATCGCTGCACTAGGTCGCTTTGCCTCACAAGGTCACCTGGAGGCTGGGCTGTGCATTTGTGGGTTCTTTGACTGACCTGCAAGAGAAAATTTTTTATTGTTCAACTGCAGACAATTTAATTAATTTTTGAAACTCCACCGTTTGCTGTTATTTTTTAACAGCTTGAAAAATTTGTTTAAAAAAATTCAAAAAATTATTGTTGATAAAAAAGCAAAACAATAAAATAATTTTGACTTGCATAGATAAATTGAGAAAAAAAATTAAAGTTATTCACAAAGTGTTTTTGTGCCCTTTCTAACCTTGTATCGAAACGATTTATTGCAGGCGGTGCACTTGTAGGGGAGGGCGCCGGTGTGAATCCTGCGATGCACAAGATAAGACACCCTCTGGCGGAAGGCCTTTCCGCACGTTTCGCAGACGAAGGGTCGTTCGCCGGTGTGGATTCGCTGATGGTTGTGCAGCGTGGACAACTCCTTGAACGCCTGGCCGCACTCCTGGCACACGTGCGGCTTGGCGCTTGTGTGGTAAAGCAGGTGTTTGTGGAAGGACTGCTGGAAGGCGAAACTCTTGCCGCACGTCCCGCACTGGTACGGCCGCTCTCCAGTGTGCAGTCGCTGGTGCTTTTTCTGCAACAGAGATGCAACCGAAATTGCCAATTGGTGAGTACAAAACTTGTTTTTATTTGTTTTGCAAAATTATTGAAAAAATCGTGAGAAACAAAATTCTTTGAATTTTTAAATTTATACCAACGCAATTTTTTATTTTTTTTTGCAAATAATTTAAAATTATTCGGTTCTGATAAGTTTTTTTACTTAAAAATTTTAATCTTAATTGAATTCAAGGCGAGTTGCATTCATTTAACAGTGGAGGTAGGGGATTGCATAGACAAATAGACAAGTCTAGAGATTTCATCCTTCAGGCGAAGGGATATGCAACCCGCTCAAAGGAGAAGCAGAGCGGATAGCCTAAGCTGAGCTTTGCTTGCGGGAAAAGTTTTTGATTGCTTCTTAGAATTATGAATAATAATAATCAATTGGAAATATTGCGATATATTGTTTTTAACATTACATTTAAGATTTAATTTTATATAAATGCAAAAAGGAGAACAATATTGTCAGATTCAACCAAAAAAATATAATTCTCTTATTACTATTATGCAATTCAGAAATTTAATCAAATCAATATTAACTAGGGTCAACTTAAAATATAATTCATATAATTTAAGAAATTAAAAGTCAAATAAATTTTAGTATGAATCTTTTAATTTTTTCCTTAAACAAACCTGGAAATACTTAGTGGTGAATTTCTTGCCGCATACTTCACACTCCCACAACTTATTGTCCCATTTGAAATTCTCGTTGAGACATGAGGAAACGAGTTGATTCCACTGATTCTGGCTGTTCCCGTCCTCTTTGCCCGGCTGCTGGATTTGGTACAATTGTCCACTGGGAGACTCCAGGGGGGTTGCAGGCGCCAAATTTGAGTTTGGCTGCTCGTGAAAGGAAGGTTCGATGGGAGAAAGGTGTTCCTTCAGATCGGATAATGAGGGAAAAGAAGGTGGGCTGCTCATTGAGGACTCTATGTGTGACACCATAGGCGGCGATTTTTGATTCTAGAATGAAAAAAATAAAATGGCTTGTAATGGAGGCTCAATTGTAAAATCATTTTATTCTAAATTTTTTACTATCAAACAATTCAAATTCTTCCATTTTTTTCTGATTTAAAATTTCTTGAATTTCCAAACATTGAAAGCAGGAAATTGTTCCTAGTCTTTGATCAAAATTTGTAATTTTTTATGCAAGAAATAATATTAATTTTGCTATTTTATTTGGTAAGTTTACTGTAGCAAAATCTGCTATTTTGATTGCTTTAAATGAAGCATTTGAATAATTATAATTATCACTCAAATATAAATCAATGAGTTCAGATTTCAAATATTTGTCAATAGTAAATTTTTAATTCTGATTTCAACGTGAAGCCTGGATCTGAGAATAACGTTTTATTTCTTCACCGTTGTAAAACAACTAAACATAATTCTTCCGTTCTCATCATCTTGAAATATTGTATTTGTGTTCGTCCCAAATTCTCCCGAGCTCGAGACACGCGTGTTCCGCCGCGACGGCAGCTGTGCATTAATTTCAATTTATTTCTGTACCTGCTGCGGCGACGGCGACGGCGGTTGTTTGCTCTGCTTTTTGTGCTTCGCCGCCTCTTTTCGGGCGCCGCCGTGGACAAACCTCATGTGGACCATCAGCGAACCTTTCATTTTGAACTTGCGCGAGCACAAGTGACACGCGTGCTGCTGGTCGGGGTCAACTTTTTGCTCGCTCGGACCAGGTTGGCAAGGGTGCACGAGGTTTGTGTGAGAGGCGAGCATTTCCGGACTGGAGAAGGAGATACCGCACTCTCGACATTGATTGCAACCTGAAATTTACAAGAAGAAAAAGAAAAAAAAAGTTAAGATTAAAATGAAAACGGAATTCTAAAATTTGGAAAACTAAGAATTTAGCAATTAATTTTTAAATAAAAGCATTATTTGTATTTATACAGATAATTAATTTTTTATACAAAATATTTCCAAGTTTTATTTTGTCTGAAAGTTTATAAAAATTGCAATTTAATATGTTAAATAAACCCATTAAAAATTTCATTATTATAATTTTTTTTGCATCAAATTAGAAATATTTAGCAAAATGTTTTGGTAAAAATTCGCAAAATTATTTCTTCTTGCTTAAGAATATTTTTTCATAAAATAATATCTTTTTCTTAATAAATCTTATAATTCCTTGAAATAAAATTAGAGATTGTCAAATTAATGTTAATTTTATACTTAATTATCTCTCACCGTGTACAATTGATTGATGTTGTTGTTCTTGTTGTTGCACACAAACCACGCCACCAATGGTCATTTCCAAATCAGGACACGGAATGACAACACCCGCTTGGTTTTCGGCAGGACACGTCTGTTGCGGCGCCGTCAGCGGTGGCGCCGACGGTGGTTTGAGGAAACTCGGCTGCGTCTGCACGGCGATTTGCACCGCCGTGTCCGGAAGGGCTGCGGTCGCGGGGTGCGACGGCAGGTGCCCGTACAGGTGGAGGGTGAGTTTGTCGAGTCCGAGCATCACCTCGTCGCACACGGGACACGCGAGGCGCCGACTGGCGCCGCTCATCAGGCCCTGCCACAGGGCGACCAGCGAGTTAAAACTCGAGTGCAGACACACGGGACAGCGGTAGCTCTCCATTCTCGCTCACTCGACCGACTGAGGCTATTTCGGGGCTGCCGCTTTTGGATCATCTGATGCAAAGCAGGCGTGCAGCTTTCAATGGGCGCCACATCGGGGCACGGAGGGGTACCGACTTGTTTACATTGCAGGGAAGAAAAGAAATTCGAGATTTCTTAAGACGCAATAGTTTTTTCAGGAATTTAACGTGGACGAGAATTGTAACTTAATTTAAGTTTATTCTCCAACTTCATTAGTTTCCATTAATTATTTTTATCAGTAAAAAAACCAAATTAATATACGAGGAAAAGAAAGTCTTGATGTTTTTCTTTATTTTCAATAATTTTATTGAAAATTTGATGTTAAATTCTTTTTTTTTCAAGGAATATCAAAATAATACAAAATAAGTTCATATAATTATAAAAAAGTAAAATAAATTTAATTGCCGTAAACCCTCACATTTGCATGCGATTTTTCTTATTTTATTTTGTAATAATGCAAAAAGTGGTTCAAAAGTTTAATTTAAATGTGAAAATTAGCTTTTTAAACATTTATTTAAAGGTTTCATCCAGTTCTTTTATTGAATGAAACTCAATCGAGTACAACTTTTAACTTTGATTACAAAAATTTAGCTCAAAATTAAATTTAAAAGTCATGCTAGATAAAATTCGGTTTAAAATTTTGTGAAATCCGAGCGCTAACAAACAATATTTAATTATTAGAGTTTTCAAAAATTGAAATTTATTTTTTTTCTTTTCATATGCAATTATTTTGAATTTACAAGAGAGTTTAAATATGTCTTCTTAATGTCTGTCAGTTTTTGGAAATGATCTTTGCAATAATTTCTGTTCCTTAATTTTGTTACATTAAAATTAAATTAAATTTGTTTAATTTACATAATTTTTTTTACAGATATTGGAGGATTTTAAAGAAAATTCCGTCCAAAATCCTGTTGTTATTCATCTATCCATACATTTTCCTTGCTCTAAAGATTTACATGTATAGGCAACTTGCTTGACACCAATGTCGCGCAGGTTGCGTATTAAAAATTGCTCACATTTTCATTGAAAAAAGTGCTAATAACTCTACACACACCAAAATGTGACCTAATTAAATTTTTTAACTTTAATAAATTCAATTCAGGTCTAAAAGATAAACTTTCCCTTTAATTTCCTGTCCCCGATTTCGTTTTAGAAATCAAATTCACATAAGTGACTCGCGTGCATTTTTGTTCCCATTTCAAAGGCAATCGTATCATCACTTGAATTATTATTTCAACGAGTTTTTCAACTTGACAATGTTGTCTCTGTGCGAAAGAAGGATTCACACTCTTGTATAATTTGCATGCAATTGCCATTCAACAGCCGTCAAAGGCTGATGATCTGCAGCGCCTCATAAAACACAAGTGCATCAGCAACAAAGCAGAGCGAGAGAGCATTTCTACATGAATATATATAATACGAGAGACGTTGAGAGAGATGCTCTTACTTTCAACAAGTTACACAACACGTCGTGCCGCCTGGAATGGAAAAGCAGCAGCTAAATGCGCTCTTGCTCTCACTTGAATGTGCATCTCTTTCTCTCTTTCTCGGCGCAAACAAGCATGTGTGTGTATAAATCGCGGCCGGTTCGCTCGGGGCGCCGCTGGCACCGAGGCGTTCGCCGTCCGCTCGGCACGTCGCTTACCCCGACGTGCAACAGATGACGCTCGATTTGCAACCGCAACCCGTTGAGCACCACGCACGTTTGGCGGTTGGGTGACTAAACCGACGACGAACCGCTTCACCCTAATCTAATAAAAAGGGAAAAATTGGTGCAGCTAAATCTAGAATTTTGCGTTTATGTGCTGTGGAAAAAATTTTGCTCTATGTTCGCTGAGCTAAGAGATTTATTTACTTATAAATAATAGAATTATTAGCTTTCAAATGAAAATCAGTCGAAGGTCACTGTATTGTTTTAGAATTTTTAATAGACCTTTGCTTTGACTGATTAATATTTTTGTGCAATTGTTACAATCACATTGTTTAAATTCATTAAAATATTAGAAATAATAATTTGTTTGAAAGATAAGTAATTGTTAGAAAAAAAACGGCACTAGCAGGAATTTTTCTTAAACTTAAGCATAAAAAAAACAACCCATTTAGCCTCTGTTGACTCTATTTTTCTAATATAATTAATTTCTCGCTTTCATAAAATGGCCTGCAATATTTTCACTAAGTATTTTTGAAAATAATTTTTAATGAAAATTTTTAGCACAAACAATCATAAAAATATATTTGGAATTAGCAAACAATGCACCCATTAATGGAGATTTTGTGTTCTAGATTTTCTTTAGTTTTTAAAAGTGCTTCAATTTCCCTCGATTTCCTTGTTTAAAACAATAATTTCTCCAAAGAATTAGCCATTTTTGTATATGCAAGTGTTTTGTGTTATAAAATCTCTGTCACCTAGTTTTAAATAATCTTTTTCTAATTCAATTAAAATTTATAATTCAACGTTCCTCTGTTTAATTTACATCATTTTGAAAATTGCAACGTCTCAATTAGTGCCGGCCGAAGAAGTGTTTACGCAAATCGAAGGGAATCGAACCGTGACCCACAAACGCTCCGTTTCAATTTTATCGTCAAACGCGACGGCTTTGAATTAAAAAGTCGCTCTGCTGTCTATGACGTTTGAGATGTGCCAATCGAGTCGTAATCTGTTTCTAGTCCGAGCGGATGAAGACGCACACATTAAAAAGTAAAATTATTTAAAATAAGAGACGTAATGTGTCACCGGTGCTTTTGCTTTTCGCGGCCGTGCACTGCACACACACATGTCGAGTACGCACATGACTCACTTTGGAGGATTACAAAATCGACACGCGCGGTGCGGCCTTATTATTTTCTGGAACGATCCTTGAAAATAGATTTAATACAAGCATTATATTTGATATTGCCCCATCCATCCATCCGCACAAACACATGCAGCAGAAAAGAAAGAAAGAATCGGTGCCCCCCTCCCCACCTCGGCACCCCTTCCCCTCCGTGTGCATTTATCCTTGCCTTCCCCGGGGCACGAACCGGCGAAAGATCGACCTAAGTGCATTGCATACACACACTGACAAAAAGCTTCTTTGGCTGCATTTCGGTGCAAAGCGCGTGTGCAGCCAAAGCCGCTAGCCCATGACCTCGTTTTTGCCGCTTGCATTTCCCACACACACTCTTCTTGCTCAGGCCCCCCTCCCTACCGCCCTTGCGATGCACTTGGGCCGCCATCATGGCTTACTGCATTTTTCGTTGCCCCCTCCAGCCAACTTGTTCTTGCCTTCGTTTGGTCGGTCCCACGCAGTGTAAAAATGCATGAAATAAAATTGCGACACCGTGATGCAATTCTCTTTCTCTCTCACTTGCTAGAAAAAGAAGCGGCCGCGTGTGGCGGAAAAGCAAGCAAACAACCCGCCGGCGAAACTGGGCCAGCGCGTGCATTTTCTGACGCATTATTTCCACCCACCCAACGCCTCGTGCTGGGTGGCCCCCTCTTTTCGCCCTGCCCTAACACACACGCAGCGAGATAAAATCGATCGTTGCACCCGATAAAGAGTGCACCGAAATTGCATATAAACGCGCAAGTCCTCAATGAAGTCACATAAAAACTACCTATTTATTATGAAAATAAAAAAAAATCAAGTTCCTGATTAAAATAATTTTAGGATTTTTTTACAGATTAATCGCACTGCATCTTTTGTTAAAATTGTTTTCGTTTGCTGTAAAAAATGTTAATTTAAACATAAAAAATATTTAACTGAATTTATACCTTTTTTGGTTTAATTGAACTTTACCCTTATTAGTGGTAAAATTATTCAATATTGGGTTACAATTTATATTTTTCAAAATTTTCATCTCCACTTCTGCAATTTTTCCTCTCAATTTGCATTGTTTTTTTCAAAATTAGGTCATCCTGAAAGTTCTGTGAACATTTCTTTAAAACTAAAATCGATTTACATCATAATGAAATTTAAAAAAACAGTAAATATATTTTTGCATTTTTTTTATCACTCTGCATCAAAATTTCTTGTGTTTGACTAATGTTGAAGAAGAAATTTTAAAAATAAATAATTTGAAAATAAAATTCAAGTCAGAACCTATATTTTTAACCCATTATCTTCAATTATTAAAAAAATATTGTAATTTAATAAAATTTCTGTCTTTTTTTTTAATGGATACAAGTTTTTCCAAGTTTTTCAAAGATCATACCACAGACACCAGTTAATTCCTATATCATTAATAATTGAATTTTGTAAAAAAAAAATTAAAATAATATGTTATTGAGAACAGTTGTTACTGTTAACTAAAATCTGCGTTAGTATTTTCTTTTTTAATTCTTACTGTAACAAAAAAGTCATTTGTTTTCATGATTGATGGTTGAAGGCAATTACAGCCATAAATCGTTGTTGCCGTTCAAATAAATTGCAAAATTTTTCACCTTATTTAAATTCCATTTCTAACGACTGCATGTTCCGTGGGGACTTTTATGCAATTATCTCTCTGAACAGCTGCTTTATTTCTGCATTCAAATCCAATCCGATTTGAGAGTTAATACACTTCCTGGTATACGCGTGCATTTTCGATTGACGTTTTGCGATTTCTTGTTTTCCTGCATCGTATATACCAGAAATAAATTTGCACAGATTGACGTTTTGCTGCCATTGAGACGGTTTTCAATTAAACATATACATACGTATGCACGCACCAAACGGCGGCGGCTGCATTTAATATTCCAGCGGCGTGGCGATTGTAAACTATTATAGAGACGTCGTTGCACAAAACACACTCATAATATATACATACGTACCTCTGTACAGAGTCGCGCGTTAGAAGGTGAAATGCACTTTAAATCAGCCACTTTTATACGCCCGTTTGTCACGGTTTGCCTCACTGGTAAAAACGCTCAGTTTTAACAAACAGGCCTTGAATTAACAGCACCGCTTTTTCAGCCAAACTCTTTTCATAATCATGGATTAAATAACTCGTTTTAGCTTTCTCCTGCGTAATTTAATGCGTGAAAGGACTTTTTCAAACCTAAAAAATTTAAATAAAAAAAATTAAATTTGACTAACAATAAGAAGGATATATGTAGAAAGATTTAATAATTTTTTTTCAGAAAATTATTGATTAATTAATTGCATAGTTTCAGATTTATTGAGAGTTTTCATGAAATTGATCAGATTTAAAACAGTTTAATCTAATCAAAATTATTGGATGATGAATTAAATTCTCCCAACTGTAATTTAATGGAAAAATTCA